AGAAGAGAAAACGAGGAAGAGGAAAGAGAGAGGAGAAGCTATAGAAGGAGGTTTTGGCGGGAGAGGAAAAAACACACACGGAGAAAGACAGAAAATAGAAGAGGCTCTTGTGAGCGAAGCGGTGAGGAGAGCACGAGCGAGCAGCCTTTGTGAGCGAAGGGTGTGTGAATGGAGCAAGATAGAAGCTTTTGCGAGCAACATGTGAGTGAATGCCGCAAGAGAGTTCCACTGTTGCAGTAGGAAGGAAGTATTAACACTGAACCTCAACTTTTCACTTTTCCATAATATTACCTAATATTACCTAATCAAGGAGAGAAGCAACCTAGAACTAAGGAGAAACTTCCTGACAGGGAGAACAATTAATCAGTGGAACGACTTGCCTCCAGAAGTGGTGAATGCTCCAACACTGGAGGTTTTTAAGAAGAGACTGGACAGCCATTTGTCCGAAATGGTACTATAGGGTTTCCTGCCTAAGCAGGGGGTTGGACTAGATGGCCTCCAGGGTCCCTTCCAACTTTATTATTATTATTATTTCAAACTAGCCGTTTCTATAACAACAAATGAATCTAACCCGTAAAGCCCAAGATTCCCCCCTCCCTTTTTTTTTTAGTCATCAAGTTTTTGACACCTTGCTAAGCTCTGGTGGTACTCGAATACTGTCATGTCCTAAATGTGGTACAATCTGTGAAAAGGTTGAAAAGCCCTGGATTAGATAGCCAATGACCTGTGTGTGTGTGTGTGTGTGTGTGTTTGTGCGTGTGTGTGTGTTCCACTGAAAAGAAAACTACTCCACTAAGCTGAAAACATAAATTGTTCGGATTGACTTTATTGCAGTTTATGTCAAGGCACTCTAGCTTGTACGTAGGTCTCTGCCTGCCCTGCCATTGTAGTAAATCAGCATTCTTAGGGCCCATTCTGTCTCCAAGGCAACTGTTAGGGAGAGGCTTTGTGCCCGGGTCCAATTACAAGCAACAGAATAATGGAACAAGGAAGAGAATTAAAAGAAGGGCCTAATGACATTTATTTAAAGAAGTAAATCGCTTCACAATACATGAAACTGTAAGTTGCCCTGGCTGTTCCTTTTGCTTTTCATTCTTAAAAGAAAAAAGGGGAAAAAAGAACATCCATTTTAGGAGAGATTATCTGGAGGAGATAATCTACTAAACTTCTTGTGTCTGTAACCTTTAACTGAATGAAACACTGCATTGTAGGTTAACGAATTTTGAATCTAAATGCCTCAAATGGGCTTCCTTTACAGAAGGTGTCCAAAATCCAGGACTCCTATGTAACTGAAATTCGGCAAACTTTATAAAAGATTTTATGCCGTAAAACAGAGGTCCCCAACCTTTTGGGCACCAGGGACCAGTTACGTGGAGAGAGGTTTCCCCGCGGACCGGAGGGTACGTGGTTTTATGTGCTGCCTGCATCCAGCGGATAGGGCTTTGCTTGTTTGTGTGGCCCGGTTGCTGGCATGCCACGCACCGGTACCGGTCCATGGACCGGGGGTTGGGGACCCCTGCCACAAACATTGTTATAAAAGAGTTTCTGACATAGTCCAAAATGTCATAGAATATTTCCTATGCTGACGTTTGACTTGCTATATAGTTCAACATGCTATGTTTTCAAGGCTGATCCATCTCTGAACATATTCCCAACTTTTCCAGGGAATGTTGTAGGTTAGAAGCTCGGTCATTGTTGACCGACTCTGGTAAAGGATAACCCAATGGGTCATGGGTGGTCTGGTGACTATTAGCCCAATATTTTAACCCAGAGGTCCCCAACCTTTGGGGCACCAGGGACCGGTTCCGTAGAGCGAGGTTTTTCCGCGGACTGGAGGGTGCGTGGTTTTGTGTGCTGCCTGCATCCCGCGGACGGGGCTTTTGCTTGTTTGCGCGGACCGGTGGCGGGCATGCCGCGGGCGCTGGTGACCCCTGCTTTAACCAACATACCTGTAGATCAAGCTCAGAAAGCAGATGATAAAATAAATCCCGATTGTGAAAATGTAAGCCAGTTGCATGTAGTACGGCGCGGCGTTCTCAAGTTTTGCTACTGTGCCGTTGGTGTAAAAGCCACTGTAGAGCACCGTGTTTGTAAAATAACCCTAGGACGATAAAGAGAAAGCATCAGAATTCAAGAGGTCGGCAAAAGATTCTTATTGACAGTATCCCTTGTCTAATACTCTTCCCTCCCCACAGAGGCAGAGAAGATTGCATTGGTATTTAGCCTGTTTCACACTGAGCTTATTTTGTAATTTATTTATGGATTTGATTGATTTGATTGATTGATTGACTGGTTTGCTGTGCCCATCCTGCCTCGAGGTAAAAGGAAGCTCCTTTTGGGACAATTCCCTTTAAACAGTCTTTCTTTAACAGGCAATTAGAGTCACATACCATACTAAAATCATAAGAAAGGCTGAGCGCCAAAGAATTGAGGCCTTTGAACTCTGGTGCTGGAGAAGACTCCTGCGAGTCCCCTGGACTGCAAGGCGATCAAACCGGTCAGTCCTAGAAGAGATCAACCCCGACTGCTCTTTACAAGGCCAGATCCTGAAGTTAAAACTCAAGTACTTTGGCCACCTAATGTGGAGGAAGGACTCACTGGAGAAGAGCCTGATGCTGGGAAAGATGGAGGGCAATAGAAGAAGGGGACGACAGAGAAGGAGGTGGCTGGATGGAGTCATTGAAGCAGGAGGCGTGAGCTTAAATGGACTCCAGAAGACGGTAGAGGACAGGAAGGAACGTTGTCCATGGGATCATGATGGGTCGGACACGACTTCGCAACAACGATACATGCAGTGGTTTGCATGCTGGGTTTAGCATGTTGTATGAATCCAAACACTGAAGTGAGGGCTCCTTGGTGCTCTCTGAAAAATGTTTGCTTTCTTGCAGACATTTCATTACCCAAACTAGGTGATGACTAGGATTGATGATGTTACCTGGTTTGGGTAACGAAACATCTACAAGAAAACAAACAAGCTCAGAGAGCACCAAGGAGTCCTCATTTCATCCCTGAGCCACAAATATTTTCCTCTATTGCTAAAACGGAAGTCTATGAAAACTATGATTCAGGGCTTAGCAAGTCAAATGAATCCAGCCAACAGTGGCTGAATCAATAAACCACAAATAAACCACCAATCCAATTGGTTTATCAAAGAAAAAACATCTCTCTCTCTCTCTCTCTCTCTCTCCCTCTCTCTCTCTCTCTCTCTCTCTCTCTCTCTCTCTCTCNGGGAGGGAGGGAGGGAGGGAGGGAAGGAAGGAAGGAAGGAAGGAAGGAAGGAAGGAAGGAAGGAAGGAAGGAAGGAAGCCGTAGTGGCGCAGTTGTCACAATGCAGGCTGACTCTGCTCAAGGCCAGGAGTTCGATCCTGACTGGCTCAAGGTTGACTCAGCCTTCCGTCCTTCCGAGGTTGTTAAAATGAGGACCCAGATTGTGGGGGGCAAGAGGCTGACTGCTCTAGTCAGTGCTCTAAAGTGCTATGAAGCAGTATATAAGTGCTTTTGCTATTGCTAAGCTTCAGAGGTTCCTGACTCGGAATTAATAAAAGAGAATATTAGTAACTCGGGGTTGAAATGAAGGGGTTGTAGGCTGCAGGTGCTCTCTCTGAGCTTGGTTGTTTTCCTGCAGACATTTCATTACCCAGACACTGATGATGTTACCTAATTTGGGTAATGAAATGTCGGCAAGAAAGCAACCAAACTCAGAGAGCTCCCAAAATCCGACTGGGAATTAATTAGCAAAACTGAGAGGTAACGTTAAAAGATAGTTTGGGGGGGGATCGTGTATGAATATCATCCTACGAATCAAAGATTTCTCCTTTTTTACTTCCCAAAAGGAGAGGATCAAAGGATGAGACCCCCCCAAGGAACGGTGAGAAAGCCATGGACCGCTAGAATGAATTATTTTCTGCTCTGTCAACTCTCCTGAGACAAACCGACCTCTTGATGCAGAAATATGATTTCAGCCGGACTGCCATCCTCTTTACCTTGATCTGCGTGCAGATATTTTTCTGATTCATCCGGACAGCTTTCTCGTCCATCACGCTGAAGTCCCAGATGCAAAGAAGCTTGGCAGCGTTGCCCGAGTGCATTTGAGGCATCACGACGTTATTACGGAAGGATTTCGCCATGCTGCAGCGACGCGAGAGGGGCAAGGGGAAAGAGAAAGGGTGGCACGCAGCTTTAAGTACGTTTCCCGCAGCCGCAGTGGAAAAAAGATTGCATAAATGTCATTTGGGGTGTTATTTCTTTCAATCTGGTTTATCATTTGCTCTGCAAATTGCTGGCCGGGTGGCAGTAGACAATCCCTGGCAGGGGCCCTAAAAGTTATATACAAAAGCGTGATGTCTTGGTACTCAGTTGCTTTGAAACTCATCAAATCTGGCACCGGATTAATTTTGACGTGAACATTTTGTCCCGGTAACCATTGTTTGTTCGGTACTCCATGCACAAACTAGAACTTGTCGGTATCAACTGCCTTGTGACTCACTACATTATTCCTTGTGGGGAAAAATGTATTTGGTACTCGGCGTTTTCGGTACTCGTCACTCCTCCCGGAAACAATTAAGGATGAGTAGTGACGTTACCACGGTACATACTTTTTTTCAATTTGATGGAATTCGGCAGAATTGGCTAATGCCTTGGTGGATTAGGTCAGGGCTTTTCAACCGGTGGTACGCGTACCACCGGTTGTATTTTAGCGCACCTGGCAGGTGGTACGCGAGCCCTAGGGGAGGGAACCAGCCAAATCTGTGCCGCACAGACGTAGAGGAGATCAGCTGGAGCTGCAGGGCTTGGCAGAAGCCCCAGGATCTGCAAGCGTGTCTGCATGCTGATTGGAGCTTCTGGCACACCCAGAAGAGAAAACGAGGAAGAGGAAAGAGAGAGGAGAAGCTATAGAAGGAGGTTTTGGCGGGAGAGGAAAAAACACACACGGAGAAAGACAGAAAATAGAAGAGGCTCTTGTGAGCGAAGCGGTGAGGAGAGCACGAGCGAGCAGCCTTTGTGAGCGAAGGGTGTGTGAATGGAGCAAGATAGAAGCTTTTGCGAGCAACGTGTGAGTGAATGCCGCAAGAGAGTTCCACTGTTGCAGTAGGAAGGAAGTATTAACACTGAACCTCAACTTTTCACTTTTCCATAATATTACCTAATATTACCTAATCAAGGAGAGAAGCAACCTGGAACTAAGGAGAAACTTCCTGACAGTGAGAACAATTAACCAGTGGAACAACCTGCCTCCAGAAGCGGTGAATGCTCCAACACTGGAGGTTTTTAAGAAGAGACTGGACAGCCATTTGTCTGAAATGGTACTATAGGGTTTCCTGCCTAAGCAGGGGGTTGGACTAGATGGCCTCCAGGGTCCCTTCCAACTTTATTATTATTATTATTTCAAACTAGCCGTTTCTATAACAACAAATGAATCTAACCCGTAAAGCCCAAGATTCCCCCCTCCCTTTTTTTTTTAGTCATCAAGTTTTTGACACCTTGCTAAGCTCTGGTGGTACTCGAATACTGTCATGTCCTAAATGTGGTACAATCTGTGAAAAGGTTGAAAAGCCCTGGATTAGATAGCCAATGACCTGTGTGTGTGTGTGTGTGTGTGTGTGTGTGTGTTTGTGTGTGTGTGTTTGTGTGTGTGTGTGTTCCACTGAAAAGAAAACTACCGTACTCCACTAAGCTGAAAACATAAATTGTTCGGATTGGCTTTATTTCAGTTTATGTCAAGGCACTCTGGCTTGTTCGTAGGTCTCTGCCTGCCCTGCCATTGTAATAAATCAGCATTCTTAGGGCCCATTCTGTCTCCAAGGCAACTGCTAAGGAGAGGCTCTGTGCTGGGGTCCAATTACAAGCAACAGAATAATGAAACAAGGAAGAGAATTTAAAAAAAGGGCCTAATGACATTTATTTAAAGAAGTAAATCGCTTCACAATACATGAAACTGTAAGTTGCCCTGGCTGTTCCTTTTGCTTTTCATTCTTAAAAGAAAAAAGGGGAAAAAAGAGCATCCATTTTAGGAGAGATTATCTGGAGGAGATAATCTACTAAACTTCTTGGGTCTGTAACTTTTAACTGAGTGAAACACTGCATCGTAAGGTTAATGATTTTTGAATCTAGATGCCTCAAATGGGCTTCCTTTACAGAAGGTGTCCAAAATCCAGGACTCCTAGGTAACTGAAATTCGGCAAATTTTATAAAACATTTTATGCCGTAAACCAGAGGCCCCCAACCTTTGGGGCACCAGGGACCGGTTCCGTGGAAAGAGGTTTTTCCACGGACCGGAGGGTGCGTGGTTTTGTGTGCTGCCTGCATCCCGCGGATGGGGCTTTGCTTGTTTGTGCGGCCCGGTTGCTGGCATGCCACGCACCGGTACCGGTCCATGGACCGGGGGTTGGGGACCCCTGCCACAAACATTATTATAAAAGAGTTTCTGACATAGTCCAAAATGTCATAGAATATTTCCTATGCTGATGTTTGACTTGCTATATAGTTCAACATGCTATGTTTTCAAGGCTGATCCATCTCTGAACATATTCCCAACTTTTCCAGGGAATGTTGTAGGTTAGAAGCTCGGTCATTGTTGACCGACTCTGGTAAAGGATAACCCAATGGGTCATGGGTGGTCTGGTGACTATTAGCCCAATATTTTAACCCAGAGGTCCCCAACCTTTGGGGCACCAGGGACCGATTCTGTAGAGCGAGGTTTTTCCGCGGACTGGAGGGTGCGTGGTTTTGTGTGCTGCCTGCATCCCGTGGATGGGGCTTTTGCTTGTTTGCGCGGACCGGTGGCTGGCATGCCGCGGGCGCTGGTGACCCCTGCTTTAACCAACATACCTGTAGATCAAGCTCAGAAAGCAGATGATAAAATAAATCCCGATTGTGAAAATGTAAGCCAGTTGCATGTAGTACGGCGCGGCGTTCTCAATTTTTGCTATTGTGCCATTTGTGTAAAAGCCACTGTAGAGCACCGTGTTTGTAAAATAACCCTAGGACGATAAAGAGAAAGCATCAGAATTCAAGAGGTCAGCAAAAGATTCTTATTGACAGTATCCTTTGTCTAATACTCTTCCCTCCCCACAGAGGCAGAGATGATTTCATTGGTATTTAGCCTGTTTCACACTGAGCTTATTTTGTAATTTATTTATGTATTTGATTGATTTGATTGATTGATTGACTGGTTTGCTGCCCATCCTGCATCGAGGTAAAAGGAAGCTCCTTTTGGGACACTTCCCTTTAAACAGTCTTTCTTTAACAGGCAATTAGAGTCACATACCATACTAAAATCATAAGAAAGGCTGAGTGCCAAAGAATTGAGGCCTATGGTGCTGGAGAAGACTCCCGCGAGTCCCCTGGACTGCAAGGCGATCCAACCAGTCAATCCTAGAGGAGATCAACCCCGACTGCTCTTTAGAAGGCCAGATCCTGAAGTTGAAACTCAGGTACTTTGGCCACCTAATGAGGAAGGAAGGACTCCCTGGACAAGAGCCTGATGCTGGGTAAGATGGAGGGCAATAGAAAGGGACAACAGAGAAGGAGGTGGCTGGATGGAGTCACTGAAGCAGGAGGCGTGAGCTTCAATGGACTCCAGAAGATGGTAGAGGACAGGAAGAAACATTGTCCATGGGGTCATGATGGGTCGGACACGACTTCGCAACTAACAACGATACTAAAACATGCAGTGGTTTGCATGCTGGGTTTAGCATGTTGTATGAATCCAAACACTGAAGTGAGGGCTCCTTGGTGCTCTCTGAGAAATGTTTGCTTTCTTGCAGACATTTCATTACCCAAACTAGGTGATGACTAGGATTGATGATGTTACCTGGTTTGGGTAACGAAACATCTACAAGAAAACAACCAAGCTCAGAGAGCACCAAGGAGTCCTCATTTCATCCCTGAGCCACAAATATTTTCCTCTATTGCTAAAACTGAAGTCTATGAAAACTATGATTCAGGGCTTGGCAAGTCAAATGAATCCAGCCAACCATGGCTGAATCAATAAACCACAAATAAACCACCAATCCAATTGGTTTATGAAAGAAAAAACAGAAAGCCCGTCTCTGTCTCTGTCTCTCTTTCTTTCTTTTTCTTTCTTTCTTTCTTTCTTTCTTTCTTTCTTTCTTTCTTTCTTTCTTTCTTTCTTTCTTTCTTTCTTTCTTTCTTTCTCTCTTTCTTTCTTTCTTTTTTCTTTTTCATTTTATAAACCCACGTACAGCTCCGGTCAAGAACTCCAGACTCGTGAAGGAAAGGTGATTTGGCTGGCCTGCGATGAGTTGAGGGATGGCAAGAAAACTGAAGTTGATCAGGAATGAGAAAACGTTGAACATGAGAAGCCACGTCAGGAAGACAAAGTAGGAATGGATGCTGGTCCCAAATTGGCTGCCAATGTCTTTGAGCGTTTTCTGCCAAAACTGGAAGAGCTGAAGGCAGTCGACAAAGCTGTTCTTTAACTGCCGGAAGGACTAGGAGAGGAAAAACAAAATAACAAACAGGAGACTTGGTTAAATACAGCATCCAGTTCTGCTTTCAATAGCAGTTGATCATCTTTTCTATGAAGATCACCTTCGTGTGGTGTGCTTGACCCAATTTAATGAAGAAACCCCCACTGCTGGGGTACACACTCTGCAATAAGCTAAATACCATCCAATTCCTTACTGGTTCGATCACGTTTCTGATGCAAAATAACTCAATCAGGCTTCATGATATATACTCTGACTCACAAGGCAGGAAAAGCACCTGGAGATCCACATGAAGAGTAAACCTCCAGGCCAGCTTCTAAGGGCTTTCCAAACTTGGCAACTTTAAAACTTGTGGATTTTCACTCCCAGAATGCTGGCTGAGAAATCCCGGGACTTGAAGCCCACAAATCTTAAAGTTGCCAAGTGTTAGGACGTACGTAGGCTAGGACAGAACACCAAGTTGGGAGACCCCTATTCTAAGTCACTGCAGCATACTGGCAGTGATAGGCTACAGATCGTTCTTGACAATCCTCAAGGTCACGTGTTCAAAATTCAGACGCTTGGCAACTTTAATAATAATAATAATAATGATAAAGTTGGAAGGGACCTTGTAGGTCATCTAGTCCAACCCCCTGCTCAGGCAGGAAACCCTATACCATTTCAGACAAATGGCTCTCCAGTTTCTTCTTTAAAACTTCCAGTGTTGGCGCATTCACCGCTTCTGGAGGCAGGATGTTCCACTGGTTAATTGTTCTAACTGTCAGGAAGTTTCTCCTTAGTTCTAGGTTTCTTCTCTCCTTGATTAGTTTCCACCCATTGCTTCTTGTCCTGCCCTCAGGTGCCTTGGAAAACAGGTTGACCCCCTCTTCTTTATGGCAGCCCCTGAGATATTGGAACACTGCTATTATGTCCCAATACCCAATTCCAGCAGCCGTTCCTTATATGTTTTAGCCTCCAGTCCCCTAATCATCTTTGTTGCTCTTCTCTGTACTCTTTCTAGAGTCTCAACATCTTTTTTACATCGTGGTGACCAAAACTGAATTCAGTATTCCAAGTGTGGCCTTACCAAGGCATTGTAAAGTGGTATTAATACTTCACGTGAACTGACTCATATTGATGATGGCTGGGGTGTCCCGGGGCCACGTGACCTTCTGGCAAGCCAAGTTATTGGGAGAACCAGATTCACTTCATAACCGTGTTACTAACTTCACAGCTGCAGTGATTCGCTTAGCTGTGGCGGGAAGAGTTGTAAAATGGGGCCAAACTCACTTAGCAAACATTTCACCTAGCAACATAAATTTTGGGGGTCCCTTGTAAGTCAAGAGCTACCTATACTTGGCTGGGGCTGTTGAGAGACTGAGGTCTAAAACACCAGGTGAGTACAGCCTGTTCACCTTTGCAATAGGTAATGTTCTTCTCCCTCTCAACAAGGGGTCCTTAGTGAACAACCTCACTCCTTACCAAAGCCGTGTTGTAAAAGCACTGGGTACAACAATTCAGATGAGCATCCTGTTTGTAGGATTTCTTTTTTTTTTCCGTTAGGACGCGGTTCCTGTCAAATACCAAACAGCAAAACAATATAAGGTAGAGGAATGGAAGCCAACTCTTCAACAACTTCATTACCTCATTCTGAATTAGCAAGTGCAAAATACTAGCTTAACTAAAAAGTATAAAACTCCAGGAGTTGTTCTGAATCATTTTTTTTCCTATTTCATTCTCCTCCTTTCAAGGTAAGACTGACGTGTCCATTAGCAAAATGAAACCATGTGCACAACGTGCTTATTTAAAGGTTTAAAGCCATTTGTCGCCTAACTGTAGAATATTTAGGAATTTTGTATCTATATCCACTTATAGAGTAGTTGACAAAGCAAAGACAAAACAGTTTCTACTTAAATCCAGAGGGAAAATTAAAGTGAGAACCAGACAGTATAAAAAAAATATTTTTCCAGTATTTCAATTAAATAATCTTTTTCCATGTCTAATAAAAATGTCTGTATGCAAATGCTTGCTAGGTATAATGTCTGAATGCAAATATACAGTACAGATGTTTTATATATTTTACTTCCTTTCTAGATGCAGAGAAGAAAAAGAATAGAAGTGAAATATTTACATTTAAAATGAGGCATTTTAACCTTTCCACATTAATTAAGTACCCTCAGAATACAAATATATGCTTGCTACCTAATTTCACGTTTTTCTTTCATTGATTTGGGAATCTTCTGGATTGCTTTAACTCTTTCATGGGTGGACATGCTTGACAGATCGTTGATTAATTTTTCTTCTGCAAAAATAAAGATGGCAACAAAATCAGGAGAGTGATGGGATTCACGTATCCCATGAAGCCATTATGATTCTGTTGATTTCAGGTGAAGTTGCTTTGGGTGAGCCATCCCATAAATAGGAGGCAACAGAGCCCCACCAAACAAAACCAGAATATTTTGCATTCCAATAGTCAATAATTATAACAACAGCAATCAAGTTCTTGATGAGCCTCTAAAATTTGAAAAAGTATACGGAAGACCGCAGAATTAAATCCAATCAATAAATAACTGACCTTCTTTCCTCTTTGCTTCCATATATTCTGGGTCTAAATGAAGCAAGTTGGGCCTTGCAAAAGTCGCATAATTGTGTCGCCTGCTACGCCTCTGGACAATATTAACTGTAATAAAGAATTTACCGTATGCAAGCTTCAATGAATAATGCACAATCATTACACGCATAAGCAGAAATGTATGCCTTCCTAATCTAGAATTGCCCAGTCAGTTCTGTACATGACAGCCAGTACATGAATTGCCTTAAATCTCACCTCTCTCTGATGCATCTGAATAACTGTCTGCATCCTGAATATTGAAAGCACGGCTGGTAGTAGGTAATATCCCTTCAGGTTCTGGTTCATACTCAAAAGAAGGATTAACTGATGAAAAAGAAAGAAAAAAGAAAAATAGAGAACGAACTGTTTCCTCCTCTTGTATTGCACACAAACTGGAATCATATATCTTCTTAACCTAAGTTTCTTAATCCAGGATAGACTTAGTAAGCCATAGTGGGCTAGGCTAAATCGTAAGCTACGGTTTGCAAGCCCAAACGGCTGGATTCATAAAACATGCTAAACCACAAACAAGCTAATCACATTTTATCGTAGCATAATATATGAAGCCAGCCACCGAAAATGAGGGGTATCTAGGCTATAGCAATTCCAACTGACAGGAGAGGTTTTTTTACATGTAGGGAAATATGTACAGTATATGGCACAACATTAAGAATCTCCCCCACCAACCCTCAATTTAAAGTGGTCTAACCCAGAACAAAACTGGCTAGTTCGTTACAACAAAGGACATAGCCTAATTCACGAGATTCATGCAGACAGGCTTAGACTTAGAAGCGTTCGGATCATTGCTCCAAACATTAAACAAAAACTGCATGTTCTCAGACATGTTGGCATGAGAACTAGACATTCATTTAACCAGAAAACAAGAATTGAGATTGGTAGTCTGCAAGTGGCAGATTAAACAGCTCAAAGCAGGTTATAGAAGAAATAAAAACATTCAATACGCAGACACCAACCAAGAGATCATGACATGCACCACCTCGCAGAGGTAGCAAACCATCTGCTTCCCCAAACAGTTTTCTACAGACAGCACTTCACAGCCTTCAAAAACCCTAACAGTTAGACTCATGTCAACATATAGAGAGAGTCCTCAACATATGACAGTTGGAACCAGAATTTGTGTTGCTAAGCAAAGCGGTTGCTAAGTGAGTCATGCCCGATTTTATGACCTTTTTGCCACAGTTGTTAAGCAAATCAATGCAGTTTTAAGTGAACTGCGTAGTCATTAAGCGCATCCAGTTTCCCCTGTTGAATTGCTTGTCAGAAGCTGGCTGAGAAAATTGCAAGTGGCAATTACACAACCCCGGGATGCTGCAATTGTTGTAAATACATGCAGGTTACCAAGTGCCTAGATTCTGATAAATGTGGGGATGCTGCAGTAGTTATAAGTGGCAAGGACTGGTCATGAGTCCCTTTTTTCAGCCTCATTGTTAACTTCAAACCGTCATGAAACAAATGATCGTTAAGTCAAAGACTACTTAGATCTGGGTAGGCAACCTTGGCTCTTTTATGACTTGTGGACTTCAACTCCCAGAATTCCTGAGTCAGCATGGCTGGTATTGAAGTCCACAAGTCATAAAAGAGCCAAGGTTGCCTATCCCTGACTTAGACAGTACAGATATACACTTAGTACTATACTGTAGACCAGCGGCCCCCAATATTTTGGGCACCAGGGACCGGTTCCGTGGAGAGAAGTTTTTCCACGGACTGGAGGGGGTGTGGTTTTGTGTGATACCTGCCTGCATCCCGCGGATGGGGCTTTGCTTGTTTGCGCGGCCCGGTGCTGATCCACGGACCGGGGGTTGGGGACCCCTGCGGTAGACACTTCAAAACTATCTGCTTTGTTATCTATATACATTCAATGGAGCTGCATACCATATTCTTTTCCATGTGGGTTTCTGCTGGGCAATTCAAACCCATAATCAGTTGGTGGATATTTAGTCTCGTCTGGACTCTGTACTAATCTCAGAGGTATCAGAACTGGTGAATTCTGCCCTTGTCCTCCTTCCTTGTCGTCTTCCCCAAAGGGGGCGTAAGGATTGTCTGGACGGTGTGTACTTCGTTGAGAAGGTCTTCTGCACAACGAACAAAAAAAGGGAAAGGAGGAAGGAGTGTTAGGTAGGTTGACTGCCTTGAGTTATTTTTTAAAAGTAACCAAGGCTGGGTTTAAAAAAAATATGTTAAAAATCTCTATCCAGATTCCTTCTAGGCACGTACTGTGTGCTGACTGTAAACTTACAACTTGTCGATTTCCAAGGTTTCAGAATAGTGATAGTCAGGATTTTCAATGATGTCATTGTAAGGAAAAGACATGATGGATCCAGATCCTGGCCTTTGTAGGAAAAGAGCCCTTGGGAGATTTACTTAGATCACCTCAGTGCTGCCAATCTCATCTCGAAACTATTTTAAAAGAAACGAACAACACGGATGTTATGGCTGGAGAGTTGGGTATTTTGCACTACACAAGAAAATTCATCCGATAGTATAAACACTAGATAACTGAGTACAGTATCATATATATTAATTATTACACTACCACATTATCCTTTTGCTCAGAGACTCCTTTTGTTGGTATGCACCATATCATGTCAGTATCCCAGGTCTCTTGTTTACAGGCTTTTCTCCTAATCGCGTCCTGTAATCTAGTTGTAAGAATATTATTCTCACCAAGTGATGTGCTTCAACTTATCCAGAAACAAATCGCCTCCGATGACTTCTGCACCGCTCAAATATCACAGAGAATTCTTGAAAATTCAGGGAGGCACTGAATTCGTTCAATGGACTCAGGAAATATTTTGTGATTTTTCACCCTGGCGTTAAGAGATGAAGGTCGGTTATTTGCATGTTGGAAAAAATGCTTATGTTAGCTACATAAACAGCATATTTCTAGATAGTCATCTAGAAATAGCTGGCAGTTACAACACAGAATTTATTATGCTGAGCGTAATAAAATGTATTCTACTTTGATCTGATTTCAAGGTACTTCTCTTCTACTTTACAACTAAGTACTTTACAACTACTTACATCCCATCACAGAAAAATAACTGTGATTGTTTTCATGCTATTTTTGATGTTATTTTTATTATTGCATTTTATTTATTTACTATTAAATTTCTATGATATAAATTTATTGGTGTTTAATGCAGCAAGTACTATTTTATGTTCTATAAGAAGCCACCCCTGTGATTTATCTAACAAACCACGTTAAAATAAACTAAAGTTTAGAGACTGCATCTGATATTTTTCTTTGTTGCATCAAGCTTTGGGGCTTTTTAACAAATGTTCTTTCTTGGCCTTCCTGTAGAATTGTAATTATTTATGTTAAACAAATTTATATGGCTGCTCAGTTCTCACACAGTGACTTTATCTATTCTGATGGTAGGGATTTTGTTTAGATTGATCTTTTCACTGAGATCATGTTTTCATAGACTACGTTAAACTGCTTTGAAATTCTATCCAGGTTGAAAAGAAAGGACAAATTGTTTCAGAACTCTGAAAAAAAACTTGTATGGTTCTTAAAATTCTACCCCAATTGTATAAATGTTAAGAGGTATCGTACCCGTATATTTTAAAAAAGCACTCACCACTTCCACCATACACTAAATTATTCTTGCAATAGCTTCTCAGATGACCCTGAGGTAGAAAGGTAAAACTGATATGGCTTTGGTACCAGTTCCACTTTATAATTTAATGAGACATATCGTTTTCACAAAACTTATTTACAAGCGCCTTTATAGCACAAGAGAAAGAAACTCAAATAGCCTGAAAAATAATAACGCACACTGGCTCACTGCCACTGCATCAAATTTATATTTTGCAAAAAAAAAAGTAAAGCAATCTTTGCAAAAAGCTGTATAAGGCTGATGCCACTTCAAGAGCAGAAACTGTGACTTACTTCTCACTGATTAGTAAATTTGGATTGTACGGTTTCAAATGAGCTGCATGGAGGGAGACAGATAGATAGACAGACAGACAGACAGACAGACAGACAGAGATAAGCAGCATGTTGGATAGACCCAGATTCAGTTCTAACTGCTAGCTCCCCCCCCCATAGTCAAGTGATTGCATTTGGGGTGCTTGGCAACCAGCCAACATTTACCACCATTTGCAGAATCTCATGGACACAGGATCACAATTAATGGCATTTTTTGCTGGAAACCAGCCTTTAGTTGCGATTTCCAGCAAAAAACACCAATTGCGGACAATGGATTAGCTTATCGACTGCCACCAAAAAAGTCATCAAAACAGGCGTGGTCATATGATAACCTAGTTAACAACCAGAACGACTTACGGCCAGAACACTGGGCCCAATTACAGTCGTATGTCAAGGCTTCAGTGTTACTAAGGAACCCAACAAACAAATCATTGATAGGACTGGAACACTGCCATGTCCAAAGCCAGTCAAAAAGAAAAAAAAGAAATGTTCTCACCTGATGCTTGATGCTTATCAGTAATGATCCTGTGATGAGTACAGGTAAGAAACACAGGTGTGCCCCTGTATATTAAACCAAGTGTGTCCAACTCATTGCCCTGGATAGCTAAGAATGCGGCCCCACAAGTTCATAAACTTTTATTATGTGATTATATTATATGCATTAACTATATTATATATTTTATATGCTACCCAAGAGAATTCGTCTTCACTCAACACAGTCCAGGCAAGCCAAAAGGTTGGACATCCATGAACTAAACTCCATGGAGATCACTTGAAAACACACAGATACAGATTTGAATAGCTAAGTGCATTTAAATCCCTTCCATTTCTATAGAAATTAAGCCCAATTATTTATTTAGGTGCCCCCACCTGAGATGTAAACATTGCAACTAACTGATAAAGCCTTCTGTGTTTTTGAAAGGTTACTGTAATAAAATAATGTTGACAGAGTTACCGCTCAATATATATAACCCGTAGAATTTTATTTGTATTTTATATCCGTTTACATCCAAAAACACCAGGAGGAAATGAATGAATGTTCTTGCTGTTTAAAGTTACCCAAATTCACTAGGAAAATGTAATTCCTGTACTGTAGTCTCAATAGGAAAAAAAATAATCAACCCATTACTAGCTTGTGAGACAATCAGGAATTACTGGCGGAAATTATCAAAAAGACTACCCTATATTTTTCAAAAACATTAGCAAATCTTTCTGCACTAATAATCCTTAATCCAACTTGTCAGATCACTTTTTCCCCTGGTCTTCCCTGGTCCAATAAATTGCATTTACTTCCTCATGAATGAAACCCTTGAAAGTTCCTCGTAAAATTATTATGCAGTACCAAGACTTTACAATGGAGAACAAGAGAAAAGCTTCAAGAATCTTTTTAAAAAGAAAAAATTAAATAGCTAACTTAAAAAGGCCAACGCTTCAACAGATAGCTGTCATAGTCGCACAACATACTTATAGTTTGAACAATTGAGTTTTGGGGATTATTCATAACATGAACACAAGGACAGAGTTTGCACGATGCACAGATTTAGCTTGTATATGGTTTTAAGAACTGGACTTGGGAAATTAGGATTTTCAGGATAACCTTAGGGTACTTATTGACTGAATTCTTGCAAAATCGTGGCTTGTTTTAACCATAATTCGCTGAATAAATTTTAACAATTAACAAATGACGTACTTTAGTTCATGCTAAAACAATGATTTGCAATCAGTGTCTAGGTTGGTACGTTAAAGTAAGTCAAGTGGTTTTACACAAATTGCACACAATTAGGAATTTTCATAGCCTTGCAACACTGTTGAGCAGAGAAAACAACACCAAGAGATTAACCATAAATATCCCCTCGAACTGCTTGGAGAAAGGTTGGGAGATAAAAAATGAAATAGGTGAGAAAGAAGAGAAAATATTGTCTATCCCTGGAGGAAGAATAAAACATTTTTTTAAAAAAAAATATGGGATATCCTAGAAATGGAGGAACAGAATGAAGAAATGCAGGAAACAACATCCCTGCAAAGAGAAATGTTGGTCTCTGGATTTGGCAAAGCAAGGAATTAACAGAAGAGAAAATAATGTCCCTTACAAAACAATAGTGCTGGGAAGGACGAGGGGTGACATGGTAGCAGTCTTCCAATATCTCAGGGTCTGCCCCAAAGAAGAGGGAGTCAAGCTATTCTCCAAAGCGCCTGAAGGCAGGACAAGAAGCAGCGGATGGAAACTGATCAAGGAGAGAAGCAACCTAGAACTAAGGAGGAATTTCCTGACAGTGAGAACAATCAACCAGTGGAAAGACTTGCATTCAGAAGTTGTGAGTGCTCCATCATTGGAGGTTTTTAAAAAGAGATTGGACAACCATTTGCCTGAAATGGTGTAGGGTTTTCTGCTTGAGTAGGAAGCTGGACTAGAAAGTGAGTTACAACACTGTTATTCTGAGGTATCCTGGTAGGAAGTCTTAAAGTTACTTACCCTTCACAGGATCAGTATAATTTTAAGATTCCTTGGCTGGCACCACCCTCAACATTTGTTCAGATCATCTCATCTTTGCACTTCCTCGTTTTCTTGGGAAAAGTTGGTATAAAATCCTGGGGAGGAAGAGAGAAAGGGGAGAAAAAAATCTTTCTTCTTCTTCCACAACGTATCTTATCTTTGGAACCGTGCTGGAGGAAATGCTAGCACCTGAACCGCAGTTGCCAACTCACCCAAAGTCTCAGAAATTCAATCTTTGCCCTGCAGGGTGCACACACTCATTTGCAGGTTACAGAGAGGTGTGTGCAGGGGGGGATTAACTCACCTTGCTGCAACCAATCCTAGGCAGCCAACCTGAGATCAAATGAAGTAGATTCTTCTGATCATAAAATTACCCTGCCTTGGGCTGTTTTTGCTTGCATCACCATAGTTTTACATATTTTGATTCACTTTGGATTTTTTTCTACACTGCTGTGCTATTGCGATTAGAGAAGGGAGCGTTATTGTTGTTAACAGGTTTTGCCACCTGTCCACTTTCAGCCTTTCACTTAACTTTGTACATAAGGAGAGGCAAATATGCCAATAAGAGGGTCTTTAACTGGACAGTTTTAATCTTCTTCACTGTCTTAAGTCCAAAGGATGTTTTAAATTTTAAAGAAGGCCTGAATTACCAGAAAAGCCACAAATTAATCAGGGAGACCTCACCGAAAGTACTTTTTGTATTACTCACCACATTTCAATTGTCCGGATTGTTACAGGAAGCTAACAATGTGTATATTACTGGCAATTAAGTTTCTAGGAAAAGTAGAAGCTGAATGTGTTTGTCCAGTTCAGAACAGACAAATCTTGCCATTCAATGAACACTTGATTTTCATATGATAAGACCTTATAATAAGTCAGTAAATCTCTAAAATGCCCTAATCCTGTCTCCACAATTTGCGGTTACAGACTATAATGGCCTGCCTCTCACATCCCAATAAACCATACTTTGGCTAACCCTAGTTTTATTGAGGTCACCACAAACAACTCACATTTTGCTTAGTGCAATGGATGACACAAGCCCGGATTAAACCTGGAGAAGACAATTACATAAGCATACAAGAAATTACATTTTTCTAGGTACAGATTCAAAAGGATGAAAGCTTGGATAGCTTCTGTCTGAGACTCCGGACAAGCTTGGTTACCTTATCCTGATGTAAAGGATACTGGAAACCGTAGTTCCAGTGTCTGCAAGGACAATGGCTGGTCAACTCTGTCTTAATGGCACACCTGGCTTCAATTCCTTCCTGGAAACACAACATAGTGATTGCATGCAGTCCTTGTCTTATACTAAGACAAGCATTGCTAAGGCGATGCTAGAGTCAAAATAAAATATATGACATTTACCAAGGGCTCAAATTTTGATCACACAACTCTGGCGATGCTGCAACAGTTTTAAGTGCAAGGCCATTCATAAGTCACTTTTTTCAGTCCTGTTGTAACATTGAACAGTCGGTAAGCAAATGATTGTAAGTTGAGGATCACCTGTACAAAAACTTTTAAAACCAGAAGGAAAAACTCTGCTTTAGTATTCTCAGCTACTGACCCGCTTTTAATTCAAGCACTCCTTTTATTTTGAAACTTTTCAAACATCACAGCCAGAAGCCAAGTGCTGAAAACCAACTGATAAGACCAGATAATACAGACACTGACTAGAATGCTGTGAACTGAACTTTTGTTAAAATATTCAAAGCTCATGTTTACCTTTAGCAAACACAAAACAGTTGTGATGAATGGAAAGTGGAAAATGCAACTGTACAAGTATTGTTTTTCAAAGAATGAAGTCTCGAGAATGCAAATGTGGATGGGGAAAAAAATTGTCCACATTAACAGTTCCTGCTGTTAAAACACCTATGCAATTAAAGGATAGCAACAACACGACTGAAATTATTTTTGAAAACCCTGTGAAATATTTTGCTGAATACAAATGGAAAAGATGATAATTCTCATTATCCTATAAAGGCCTTTAGTAATGGAATCTATCCTATAAAGGGCCTTCCTTTAGTAATGATGATAATCAAAAGGGAATAAAATCAATTTCACAAAAAGGTATTCATTCAGTAGCAGAAAGGGATTAATAAATGTTAATAAACTGTAAATCGAATTTACAGATGAAAAAGGCTTTCGTTTCAGGAGGAAAGGGAACAGTATCAAATTCAGATAGGAGATGGCAGTCATCCGATTAAAAAAGATCAAATGTAGAAATGAGATTTTCATTCACCATGAAATAAACCAGGATTTACAGAAAAGGTTTTCCCTTCATCTAACAATCAAGAAAAATAAAACTGAATTTACAGACGGGGGGGGGGAAAGACATTAAACTTGAGAAGGAAAAAAAAATAAGTTCAAAGAAGAGAAAGGCATGCCTTGACTTAAAACACCTCCAATTTACTTAAGAAAAAAAATGCTATTAACCCGATCATTGGATGAAAGGAAGTCGAATTTCCACAAGATCTTATTCCTCAAAAGGTGAAGCGAAATAAAATGGAAAAAAGCGAAATAAATAAAGAAATAATTCCCCACGGTGAGATGGGTGACAAATAAATTTAACAAAAAATACAAAAAAATAAAACTGATTTTACTGAGGAGGAAAAAAAGGATTTCATGTCACAAAGAAATGTCACAAAGAAATCTTGTCTGAAATGATATAGGGTCTCCTGCTTGAGGAGGGGGCTGGACTAGAAGACCTCCAAGGTCCCTTCCAGCTCTATTCTATTCTATTCTATTCTATTCTTTTCCTTTCCATATTTTCTATTCTATTCCTTTCCATATTTTCTTTTCTATTCTATTCTATTCTATTCTTTTCCTTTCCATATTTTCTATTCCTTTCCATATTTTCTTTTCTATTCTATTCTATTCTATTCTATTCTATTCTTTTCCTTTCCATATTTTCTATTCTATTCTATTCTATTCTATTCCCCTTTCTATATTCTATTCTATTCTATTCTGTTCATGGGAAAGTTTTTGTTTTTTTTTTTAAAAAACAGATTTATAGCAGAGAATGCCATTTATCACGGAATAACGTCGCGTGTCTAGAAGAGGGGGTCTATTTATTCAGGGGGACGAGAAATAAAAAAGGAATTTCCAGACGAAAAAAGGGGGAAAGGAAGGAGCCCAACCAGGATCCCCGGCCTGGCCCAGGGCCCGAACCCCGAGACGGATCCGCCCCGCCCCGAAGGCCTCCCCGGCCCGGAAGCGCGACGGCGGCGACGGCGGGGCGAGCCAGGCCGGGCCGGGTCGGGTCGGCAGGAAAGCGCGGGGAGGCGCGGCGGGAGCCGGCTGGCGGAGGCCATGAGCGGGCGGCGGGGCTCGGAGAACCCGGGCAGCAGCAGCGGTGGGTCGGGGCTGGCGGGAGGGGAGGCTTGGGAGGCCCGAGGGAGGCGGCACTTTCCTCAGAAGGAGCCCCCTTGGGTTGAGGGGAGGGGGCTCGCAGGCATCGAAGGCCCTGGCCCTTCCCCATGGGTCTCCCATCCCCAGTTCTGGGGGTCTCCACCCCCAACTCAGGTTCACAGGGGTCTCCTATCTCCCATTTAGGTTGCTGGTGGTCTCCCATCCCCACCCCAGATTCCAAGGGGTCTCCCATCCCCAATTCAAATTCCTGAGGGTCTCCCATCCCCAACCCAGATTCCCAGGGGTCTTCCATCCCCAACTCGGATTCCTGGTGGTCTGCCATCTCCAATTCAGGTTGCTGGCGTTCTCTCATTTCCGATCCAGGTTCCCAGGGGTCTCCTATCCCCCCATTCAGGTTGCTGGTGGTCTCCCATTTCCAATCCAGGTTCCCATGGATCTCCCACCGCAACCCAGATTCCTGGTGGTCTCCCATCTCCAAATCACGTTCCTGGTGGTCTCCCATTTCCAATCCAGATTCCCTGGGGTCTCCCATCCCCAATTCAAGTTCCTGATGGTCTCCCATCCCCAACCCAGGTTCCCAGGGGGTCTTCCATCCCCAACTCAGATTCCTGGTGGTCTCCCATCCCCAATTCAGGCTGCTGGTGTTCTCTCGCTTCCAGTCCAGATTCCCAGTGGTGTCCTATCCCCAATCCAGATTCTTGGTGGTCTCCCATTCCCAAACCAGGTTCCCAATGGTCTCCCATCCCTAATTCAGATTCCCGGTGGTCTCCCATCCTTAACCCAGATTCTAGTGGTCTCCCATCCCCTATTCAGATTCAAAGTGGTCTCCCACCCCAGATTCTTGGTGGTCTCCCATCCCCAATCCAGGTTCTTGGTGGTCTCCCATCCCCAACCAAGGTTCCCAGTGGTCTTCCATTCCTGACCCAGATTCCTGGTGGTCTTGCACCCCAACCCAACTTCTTGGTGGGCTTTCATTCCAGCCCTGGAGCCATCTGGAGTCTAGCTCCCCTGCAAAGAATCTTTATTTCTAATTCTGAATTTACATTGCAGGACTCAGTAATCTGAGTTCGAATTAAGATGGTTAGAATTAATACTTACCTCTTTGAAACCTAATTGGGTGGGATTCATGCTCTGGGTGTTTGCAATTGAGTCCTAAAATGACAGGCACTTGCTCTTTAGCTGTTGCAAGAGAGGGTTTAAACAATGACAAAGATAATCTTTGGTAAAGATAACTGACCGGGTGCCCTCCAGGGACTTGAAGTCCAACTTTGATAAGCTCCAGCTAGCATTATCAGCATGGTAAATGCAAAACTTTTTAGAATTCCTTGGAAATGCTGAGAACAAAGCTTTAAAATTATCATTAGACATCCGGCATTTAATTGGTCAAAGTTAGACCTACTGCTAAACCATAATGGTGAGTTTATGAATCATTGTTCTGTGTGAAGCAAACCAGTAGGGCTTGTTCAAGAAATTGTGACTAAACAAACTTAGCTTAACATGCTTAAACCAGCCAATGAGCTTCTCTGTGTAGCAAAATGACACAGGTCAAATTGGGTTTGTCACCTATCTTTCTCGTCCTTCCCTCAATAATTTCTCAAGTGTTTCTCTTGATTTCTTTTTACTCTTTCTGGGGAGAGGTGTATCTAAAATAATTGGAGTTTGTGAGGTCCTTGGTGCTCTCTGAGCTTGGTGGTTTCCTTGCCAATGTTTCATTACCCAACTAGTGCACTGATGACGTTGCCTAGTTGGGTCATGAAACGTCTGCAAGAAAACCACCAAGCTCAGAGAGCACCAAGGACCCCACAGTTCAAGCCGAAGCTACAGATATTCTACCCGTAATTGGTGTTTATTTATGTCTTGCAATGATGGGGTTTGAGGAGTTTTTTAAAAAAAAAATACACAGTTTTTATGAAATGTTAAATCTGTAGCCCAGTTCTGTGGGCACCTCTGTTGTCATTGAAAAGCAAGCTAAAAAAAGCAGACCTTTTCATGGTGAGCAATTGAGCACTTGGAGAAAGGTCTCATGCTACCGAATGATAAAGGTCATTTATGATTATTCTGGCAGATGTTTTTCTTCCTGACCCCCATGTGCCAGCGGTAACTTTCCTTCAAGAACTGCCCAGTTACCAGTCTATGCGGAGAAGAAGATTAGTAACCGGAAACGTAGGCAACTTCCGCAGTTTAGCGCGATCGGCTTCTGGAGAGACCAGGAATCTCATCCAAGGAACAGAATCGAGAAATGTCAACCCGGAACGTCCGCTGAGGGAATGTGCCTTGCCAATCGCGGAGAAGAGACGTTTAAGGTCTGTTGCTGCATTTGCATAATCCTGTAAAAACCAAAGGAATCAAGTTATGCTTAGCGTAATGTAAGAATGACCTAACCTGTATTCTGCTCATTCCAAGGTGAAAGATGAGATGCCTGTAATATGTTTGTTTTTCTGAGCAGGGAGCTTGAGGAAAAACACATCCAAGCCCAGTCAAGGTGGAATCAGTGGAAGAAAGCAACTAATAAATCACTAAAAAGAATTATGGAGAATATCAAAGAATTAATCTCTTATCTGGAATTGTGGAGATACGACATCCATAGCATTGAGGGTAAGTCTTATTTATGGCTTTTGCACTTTGTTACATTGCTTCTTGGCTGGCAGATGTTGCCATGTGGGGTCCTTGTTGCTCTCTGTGATTGATTATTTCCTTGCAGTCTTAGCTAAGTAGCACTGATGATGTTACCTAGTTTGGTAATGAAATGTCCAGCCACAAGATTTCCCAGATTGTTTACTATGATCCTATTTGGATGTTGAATCTGGAATAACGCAAGGGGCCTCTCCCCCAAATAGGAATAACTGATCATTTCACGCGCAAGAGATTGCTTCTTTATTAAAAGACGACAATAAAAGTGTAGTTACTCAGCACAAAAGATTAATGATGCCTCTTGAGTATCTCCAGAAAGAACATCCTAAAATCTGGGTGCCCCAGTGAATTATATTTTATTTTATGGGTGTCATTTAGAAGAAACAACCCTAAAACAGGGCTTGTTTGACCAAAGTTTATTTAATTAACCATAATCAATTGATTCATGGAGTTAGGTTAAGGCACAAACCGTGATGGGGCAGGCCACAATTGGCAGGCAAAGCTGCCCCAGAAGACAAATCAACTAAGGGGGCTGTGAGTCACGTGAAGTGACCGATTGACTGCCTTCCTACTGAACGCTGTCATTAAATGATTAATTTGTGCAAAGCTAAAATATTTCTCTCTCTTTCCCTTAGAGAAATTTGGCACTGGGATCAAGTCCTACTTCTCTTTCTTGCGCTTCCTGGTGGTGTTAAATGTTGTCATTTTCCTTCTCCTGTTCAGCTTTATCACCCTTCCCACTGCTCTCGTTAGACACGGAGTTGTTAATGGCAGCTACGTGAAAGTTCTCCCAGAAACAGGTAACTCACCCTTCTCTGAACCCAGTGGTGGGATTCAAATACGTGAACCACCGGTTCTCTGCGTGGATGCCGCTTCTGGAAGTCCATTTTGGGCCTAGGCAACAAAAAATTAGCCACCGGTTCTGCTGAACTGGTGCGAACCGGCTGAATCCCACCACCGTCTGAACCCCTTTCCAGCACACGATCAGCAGTAGTCCTCAATTTACAACCATCCATTTAGCAACCATTTGAACTTAAGAACAGCCATGAAAAAAAAATGACTTAGGATTGGTCCTCGCGTTACAACCGTCGCTGCATCTCCCTTGTGGTCATGTGATCAAATCTGAAGGTTGCAGCGTCCCAGGGTCACGTGATCCCCGTTTGCGACCTTCCCAGCCAGCTTCCAACGAAGCAAAATCAATGGGGGAAGCCAAATTCACTTAAGAACTTCAGAGATTTGCTTAAAAAGGGAGTAAAATCGAGGGTAGCTCATTTAACAACGGTCTTGCTTAGCAACGGAAATTCCGATCCCAATTGTCATAAGTCGAGGACGGCCTGTACTTGACTGTGGAAAAACAGGCTACGCTCGATAAAAGCTTTTGGGCAGAATATTCAAGTTTTTTTGTTCCTTCTAACGTTTCTGTTTTTGCTCCACATGTTGTTCTTTAGAGCCAGAGTGCACCGTTTATGCGATCAGCAACACCAAGGGACTGGTCTACTTTTACAGTTATATTATAGATCTGCTATCTGGCACAGTGAGTACTTGACGATAACTTTTCTACAACTTTTTTGCTTTTTTTTAATTAAAAAAACAAGTTCCTGGATCCAATCTGGGTCGGTCACTGGAACCAGAGGTTTTTGGTCTTCTGAGGTTTCAGATTCGTGCTGGGGCCCATCTTCAGGGAACTTCTCTCTTGCCAAGTTCCTAGTCCATTCTGACTAAAAAGCCATTCCTTTTCAGAAGTCTTCCCTATTGTTCCCAGTTGTTTGTGATAGCACAGTGACGGCGAACCTTTTAGAGACCGAGTGCCCAAACCACAACCCAAAACCCACTTCTTTATCGCCAAGTGCCAGGGCTGCATTAGCATTGTGGTGTCCTCAGGGGGGCAGGGGGGCGTGACACACTGGGTGGGCGGGGCCCACTGGGTGGGCATGGCTGCGGTTGTCACGGCAGACTGGATGGGCATGGCTGGGGTGGGCATGGTCACCTTGATGCTCATGGGGGGACGCCTGTGGGACGCCTGTGGGACGCCGGGCAGGGTTGGGGGAGATCCAGGGGGTCTCTGGCGGGTGGGGTGGTGGGCAGGAGGCCCAGCATAGATGGGGGGAGGCACGCAATCCTAGCTGGGACTGGGGGGCCACGGCACCGATGGGGATCCGGCTTTCCCTGCTCGGGGTGGCCTTTGGCTTGCTAGCTGTGGCCGTGCTTTACCACCTCTACTCAAGCTTGCTAGCTAGCTGCTTCGCCTCCTTTGTGCTGGGTGGGGCTGCCCCTCCAGGTGGCGGCCTAATGGACCTGTGCAAGCTGCTGGCAGCGGCGGCACGCGTGCCCACAGAGAGGGCTCTGAGTGCCACCTCTGGCACATGTGCCATAGGTTCGCCACCACTGTGATAGCATATCTAGATGTGTTTTCCCTTTTATTTCCAGGGTTGGGAAAAAAAAATCTACCTCTACCTCTATTGCTAAAACAGACCGGTTTTGCTTGAGGCTGGGACCAGCCCCGATTCTGCTCCCCATCTCTGCAACATTCTTTGACTTTCTTCAATCTGGCTCACAGGAATAGACATTAAGCCATACTGGGACTTAGTTAATGAACCACTCTTAGCCAAGTGTCTTGCCATCCTAAGATGTTGGGAGAACAGTTGATCGGGAATCCTTTTTCCCTTTCCACAAATAAGAGGAGAAAAAAAAAATCAGTTGTGTCTTTTCTCTGTAACCAGTTTGCAAAATTAGCAAAGAGAAACTTGCGGCTCAGGAAACATTTTAACAGTAAACGTTGTGAGTCGGAAAAGATGCAATCAGATTCCTAATTTTTATTTTTTTATTTTTTTTGCTTTCAGAAATTAACACACGATTGCTGCGCTACAGTGTGTCAAAAGGGGTTTTTAGCCACCTGGCTAAGTTTGTTTGTCACTTCCTCCGCAGGTAGACACTTAGAAAAAGTGAATTGCGTCAGGCTTCCCTTGCGAATCTTTTATCTTTATTCCTACCTGAAGTCCTTAAGATAAAGAGGATGACACCAGCTCCCTAATCTTAACACCTGCTAAAGGCATGGGGCAACGACAGCACACCACAAGCAGTGTTCTCGTAGATAAATTGCAAAAGATAGATCACTTCTCTGCAACCCCATTTTTTTTAATCCGAGCTCATCCTGAAGTATAATTTGCTAGGGATCCTATCTTATTAAAAAAAAAAATGCCTCTGGCAGATGGTCTGCCATCTGAAGCTGTGACCAGGTGTTATTTTCTTTTTATTTAAGAAACAAAAGAATTTACACTTTTGTGCTTAAGAATGAAAAATATGGAAAGGTGATAGAAGCGCCTAACAGAATTTCAATCTTGGCATAGGGCCCCAAATCCTAGGAAGATGCTGCACAGCCAGTGGTCTGTTGCTGATCTTCTTATAGTTCTTGGCAAACTGGAAAGATGTGGATTTGTACATCTTTTTTTCTCCGTAACTCTTTTATTTATTCATTTTAGACATTTCATCCTAGATTGAGCGTGTAGTCTCCAAATCCTAAAAAACCTGCTGTTTTCAGCAGCCTGTTGGGGGACCACACGTTGGATTCGCACAACATGCTATACTAACCCTAGTTTATAAGCCATTAACTTACAGATCACTCCTCCTTGCCTCTTGGATCCTTCACTGTGGTTGTATGTAAGAATTGAGATGGATTTGATGCGCAGATGCTGGTGGGTGATCGTAATACAGTTCTACGGACTAGCTACTATATTTGCAGCCAGTGATTGCTTTTTTCCCCAGATAACATGCTAAGAAATGGCTTAATTCGCTTCCACAAACAATCTGTTGCTGTTGGATTTCTGAGTGAGCCAAAGGTAGAGGGGGAGCGAAAATGGCTTGTATTGGCTGCAACCTAATAACCATTGATGGTTTCAGACGGCTGTGTTGAGTGTTCAGCCACCTTTCTAAAGCATGACCGTTCCCCGTGGCGAGACTGAATGGACTAGCTTGACCTTCCTTTGTTGAATTCTGTTTTGCAGGGTTTTCTTGAAATGACCGGCCTCTTTTATGGCTACTACTCAGTGGACAACGTGTCTTTGGGTCTGCCGGAATACCATGTGCCCCTGGCGTATTTGCTGATCACGCTGGCTTACCTTTCGGTCAGCTTTGTCTGGATTATCAAACGGTAAATGCCGCTGGGAAAATGGAGCTTCCCTTTGCCTAGCCAGGGCCATAGAAATGACCCTTCTAAGTTGGGGATTAAGGCCTTTGTACATTATTATTATTATTATTATTATTATTATTATTATTATTATTATTAATAATAATAATAATAATAATAATAATAATAATAATAATAATAATAATAATAATAATAATAATATAATTTGCGATTATGGATGAAACGTGTAACAGTGGTACCCATTGTTATCGGGGCACTGGGAACTATGTCCCAAAACTTTGCAAAATACATCAAGAAACTGCAGCTTCCTGCAATAACTCCAGCAATGTTACAAAAAACTGCGCTACTGGGAACATCTTATATTTTAAGGAGATACCTGGTTCATACCTAGGATGCTGGCAGCAACCCGTGTCAACCATCAGCGCCAGCCAATTTGAATGTTCAGTTGACTGAGGTTCATGTCTAATGAATAAAAGATAATAATAATAATAATAGTAATAGAGTTGGAAGGGACCTTGGAGGTCATCTAGCCCAGCCCCCTGCTCAGGCAGGAAACTCTATACCATTTCGGACAAATGGCCGTCCAGTCTCTTCTTAAAAACTTCCAGTGTTGGAGCACCCACAACTTCTGGAGGCAGGTTGTTCCATTGGTTAATTGTTCTCACTGTCAGGAAGTTTCTCCTTAGTTCTAGGTTGCTTCTCTCCTTGATTAAGGAGAGAATTTAAAAGACATTTACAAGACACGGGTAGATAGCCTGACCACATGAGGGTACAGGTAGTCCTTGAATTACAACAATTGGCAACTGGTTCATATTTCTGACGGTTACTTGGTCCTGGGGCCACGTGACTCCCTTTTGCGACCTTCTGACAAGCAAAGTCATAAGGGAATTTAAACAGTGAATTACTTGCTTGTGGCAAAAAAGGTTGCAAAATGGGGCAAAATCTCACTGAGCAACCGTCTCATTTTCGGCTCAGTTTGTGGCTGTAAGTCGAGGACTACTTGTAATATCAATTCCCCAAATCTGACATCTCGCGATTCAGACAGTATTTGTTTGTACAGTAACTTTATTATTTATAGCAGGGGTTCTCAATTATGGTGACTTTTAAGATGGGTGGATTTCAACTCCCAGAGTTCCCCAGCCAGCCTGGAAGTTTGTGTCGAATTTTTACACGGCATCCTGAAATTTCTAACAGTACTTTTTTTTTCTTTTTAAAAAAAAACACAAACCCTGGCAACATTATTAACAGCTCGGTGGAAGGTTTTAAGCGAAGCTTGATATACAACGAAGATCCGTTTCAGAGCTACTGCAATAAAATTCTGGCTGGCTGGGATTTCTGCATTACAGATGTAAACGCCGCGCGGCTGAAACACAGCAGTTTACTTTATGAACTTAGAGTATGTATATATATATAATTTTCTTAAGAATGTACCGAACCGTGCTTTACTTCCCAAATGTCCCTAGTAGCAAACAACGGAATAAACGAGCGATACATATAGGACAATAATGCCAGAAAAAATATGTGTGGGTTTTCCCTTCCCTCCTGGCAAGTTCTGTTAGAAAAATCAGCAGTAAAGGTTAAAAAAAGGGGAAAAAAAAGACTAGTCAACTGGGAGAGATACCTGATTGTTAAATTACACGACATTTCTCTTGTCTTCTCACCAGGAATAAGTAATATGCTTTGTCTCAGATGATGGTGGTCTCTTTTTTGGACCCAAAGATTTGTTTAAAAATTATTTCGATTGATTGATTGATTAATTGAAACATTTAACCTATAAATATATATCTGTTCACAGGCAGATCTGGAGGATGAAAGATCAAGACAGAAGGCAGCAGGCAGAAGCCTTAAAGAGAAAACGCGTATTTATTCTTTGAGGATCTTCTTAAACTGTGTCGTTTTGGCTGTCCTGGCAGCTTGTTTTTATTCCATCTATAGAGTAACCGTCTATTCACAAGAACACGCTTTCCCCGTAAGTAGCAAGCAATGTTTGAAACTACGTTCTGATCCTAACTTATCATTTTAGTCTTTCAATCAGTTGTATTTTCTCAACAGCTCTGGGGGGGGGGGAAAACTGGCTTAGAAGGATAGCTGCTTCACACGTTGGGCTAAACTAGGACCTATTTTAACCACGATTTGTTGAATCCAGCCATTCATTGTGTATATAAACTAGGAATCTTGAACAAATCGAAGTAACTTTTTTCCCTGCAGGAAAACAACGTCAAATTGGACGACCTCTTTGTGCAGTATTTACCGTCTATGGTGATCACGCTCGCCAACTTTTTTGCCCCGCTGATTTTTTCATTTCTCATCAAATACGAAGACTATTCGCCCGTCTTTGAGATACGGTTAACTCTGATCAGGTAACTGGGTGGCCTTTCTGTTGTTTGCTTTCTTTTCTCGTGGGTTGAGTGGGTGGGACTGTCTGTAGAGCCCATGAAACCCCCAAAGCTCCTTTTGTGGGTCCTGAAATTAGATAGGATTCAGAAGGAGCAGTTTTCAGCAGGGAAATAATTAGAGGCGCTTAATTTTGCACATAAGAAATGGGACCGATGGTCATTTGGTCCCAATAAAAGAGAATGTGTGTAGCTCCAAGTAGAACTGGGTGGTCCTCCGTCCTCTCTCAGCGTGGTTTTCTTGCAGACATTTCATTACCCAACTAGGTAACATCATCAGTGCTGGAAGGAGGAGGAGGTGGAAACTATGAGGTCCTTGGTGATCTCTGAGCTTTGTAGTTTTCTTGCAGACATTTCATTACCCAACTAGGTAACATCATCAGTGCTAGAAGGGAATGGAGTTTGTGGAGTTGGGTTTCATTACCCAACTAATGCTAGGAGATAATGGGGTTTTGGTCTTTGTTTATATACTCTGTTTATATTTAAGGAACCAGTAACAACACTCCCACCACACTGACAGGGCAAGCCACTATATATAAACAGAGAACAAACCACTTAGCACTGCGATAACCCTTCCTGTACCTCCACTGTGTCTTGAAGGTGTGTCTTTGTACGCTTGGCCAACATCGTTGTCCTTTTGTTTTCGCTGTGGACTCGGATCACGTCCTGTGCTGACAAGTGCAAGACATGTGGATATAATTACAGCCTTTATCCAGTAAGTAGATTTACCTATGAAGTGAAAATAGGTCATAAAATAAGGTATGTGAACCAAAATTGTCTGTCTCTGTTGGCTCTCCTTGAACAACACAGTGAAGAAGTTCGTCTCCCTCACTGAGGTGCTTTGTCTCCATATAAATAATTCGCTAAGATGATAATAGCTTAAACTTTTGTTTTATGCTGCTTTGCTGATTTTTCCATCATTGCTACGTATAATCTGAGAATCCTCTTGTCTCTTCTTTCAGTGCTGGGAATCTCGAGTTGGCCAGGAAATGTATAAATTGATGATCTTTGACTTGATCATCATCTGTGCTATTATAGTCTTCATTGACTTTCCTAGGAAGTGAGTATAAAATTCCAGGGAGGGGTCAAAGTGGCTTGTTTGGGACAGAGGATCAGAGAGTCACACCCATCTATAACCTTTCACAGTTAGACTTGACTCCAAACTGGCGGGTCAAACTGGATAGTGAGATGGGCAGCCCAGACATTGAATAAAGACAACTTTAAGAATTGAATGAATGAATAAACTCATCAGAAGCTTTTACTTTTTACTTACCACCGTTTGTAAAGTCACAATCTTACTTCTATCTCACCTTCAGGTTCAAGATTAGATAATTGCTCTCAACCCTGTGTTGGAACAAAGGAGAGCAACTTTCTGCCTCCCAAGCTTTCCTAGTCAGGAGAACACAGCATACAAACCCACCCAATCTTAATAATAATAATAATAAAGTTGGAAGGGACCTTGGAGGTCATCTAGTCCAACCCCCTGCTCAGGCAGGAAACCATCTATACCATTTCGGACAAATGGCTGTCCAGTCTCTTCTTCAAAACTTCCAGTGTTGGCGCATTCACCGCTTCTGAATGCAGGTGGTTCCACTGGTTAATTGTTCTCACTGTCAGGAAGTTTCTCCTTAGTTCTAGGTTGAGCAGTCAAGAACTAGAACACCATAGCTCTGTGTTGCTCAACCTTGGCACCGATTAGATGGGTGGACTTCAGGTCCCAGAATTCCCCAGGCCCGTTTAAAATTTATAACGGCCATCTTAAAAATCACCAAGGTTGACAAACACTGCTATACATTGTTAAGATGGGCAGTCGTTTTACTCAACCTTCCAAACTTTATAAGGCCCGTAGATGGGAAAAAAAAGAAACTGCCTTTGTGTTAAGTGCTTTGTGTGAAGTGGCAAAGATCCTTTTGACTTTGAGTCCACTCCACTTGCGTTCAACGTTCAACCGCCTTGGCCATTGCAGTCCCATTTCTGCCTTTTGCGAGAGATCCTTCTGGAATGTCATATTACGTCGGCTTTTTCTGCAGTAGCTATAAATCAGTTTTTCCCGACATCTAGTTCCATTAATGATGGCGCTCCCCATCCCTAGCTAACCTGGTTATTAAGCTTCTATGGGGTGAACTTAACCACACAACTTTTGGGTTTCTCTGGAGACATGGTCAGGGTTAAAAGCCAGTGAATTCTTTCTGCTCTTAGGTTGATTGTTACCCATTGTCCCGTCAAGGCCTTCCAGTGGCCTGGGCTGCAGGACTTTGCCATCCCGGACAATGTCTTGGAAATAGTTTATGGACAAACCATCTGCTGGATTGGAACCTTCTACTGTCCTCTCCTCCCGGCAATTGCAGCCGTCAAATATTTCATTGTCTTTTACGTTAAAAAGGTAATTGGATGGTCTTTTTTTGTGCCTTAAAATGGTTTAGGCCAGGGGTAGGCAACCTTGGCTCTTTTATGACTGATGGACTTCAACTCCCAGAATTCCTGAGCCAGCCACGCTGAGGGGAAAGGGGGAGGTTTCCAAGCTGAGCCATGCTGGCTCAGGAATTCTGGGAGTTGAAGTCCACGAGTCATGAAGGGGCCAAGGTTGCCTACCCCTGGTCTAGGATGTTCTGCCCTTCTCCATCCTGGATCCAGGGTGAATATTTAGAGATGTACAGGTAGTCCTCGACACGCAACGGTTCATTTAGTGACCATTTGAAGTAACAGCGGCACTGGAAAAAGCGATTTAGAACCCTTTTCAGGCTTTCGACCTTTCCAGCATCCCAACGGTCAGGTGATCAAAATTCAGACGTTCGGCAACCGACTCGTATTTACGCCGGTTGCAGTATCATAGGATCACCCTTTGCGACTTTTGGACAAGCAAAGTCCACGGGGAAGTCAGGTTGACTTAACAACCATGTTACTAACTGAACAACTGCAGGGAATCACTTAACAACAGGCAAGGTCGTAAAACGAGGCAGAATTCCCTTAACAAATATCTCACTGAGCAACAGAAATTTTGGGGCTCAGTTGTGGTCATAAAGTGAGGACTACCTGTAGCTGCCTTTCCATAAAGTTAAAAAAAACAAAAACCGTCCGTGTTTTTTCTCCCGAGTTGCTTCAGGAGCAGCTCTTAACTTCTGACCAGCGAATTGCAGACAACGCAAAAGGAACATGAACAGAAGTCACCAAATCTCTTTTTTCACTTTCCAGCTAAGCTTGATGCACACCTGTAAACCTTCGGCCCGGCCTTTTAGGGCCTCCAGTTCCAACTTCTTCTTCCTGGTGGTGCTCCTGATTGGTCTCCTTTTGGCATTCGTTCCTCTGGGACTCAGCATGACACGGTCAGTTGCTTTCCTGTTGGTGATGGTGGACAGGTGTTCCTTAACGTGCCTTTGGGTTATGACCCCACATAGTGTAGTCGAGTTCCTTGCCCCGTGGCTCAATTGCAGCTCTTGGGAGAAGTAGCCAAAAAGCATGTCTTCTGCTTGGACAAGGAGAAGAACCACGTAGCCTTCCTTGAGGCACGTTCCTGCACATGGGTTGAACCTCAACCAACATCTCCACCATTGGTAGGCTGGAGATCTTGAAGGCCGTAGTCTACATCTAGCAGCCATTGAGTGTAATAATTTGCTATAGTGTTTATCATAGATGGCACAGTTTGACCTAGTGGCCAAACTTAAGGCAACAGGCTAAAAAGCAAGAGACCATGAGTTCAAGCCCTGCCTTAGCCACGAAAGCCAGCCGGATGATTTGGGGCCAAACACCAGGAGATGGGGACTTCTAGTTTCACTCTCCACCAGTCGCTCTCTCTCAGCCCAACCCACCTCACAGGGTTGATGTGGGGAAAAGCGGAGGTGGAAGGTGTGTTGGATATATTGGCTTACCTTGAATTCTTTGTAAAAAGGATAAAAGGCAGGATACAAGTAACCCAACGCACAAATAAATCCAATTTAGGACATACAGGTGCTTGATCGTACGTCGTATTTTTTCACCTGTCCCCTCCCAAACAGCATCACTTCCTCTAAAGCCTGCGGACCTTTCGTGAATTTCAACCGGTCGTGGGACGTTGTTGGGCACACCATCCAGAAATTCCCTCTCACGTTGCAAAGAATCCTGAATGGCATTTCTTCTGAGACTTTTGCCGTGCCTTTCTTCATGGTTACCTGGTGAGCTTCTGCTGAACAGACCCCTGGGTGAGATTCACACAGGAAGGGGGTTGAGCTCCCATTTCTTGCCTCACTCCTGCCCAACTAGCTGTTGGAAAGCATGAGAATGCGAGGAGATAAATAGGTACCACTTCGATGGAGAGCTGATGGCATTCCGTGCTCCTTTGGCCTATAGCTATGCTGGCCGCATAACTACAGAAATATTGTGATTCCTCGCCAGCCAGGGGATCCGGCAGCTGAGTCTGAGGACTCAGAGGAGGAGGGGCCTGGAGGGACATTGGAGTCAGAGAAAGGCTCTGAGGAGCACCAAGACTCACAGTCAGACAAGGAGCCCGGCCCCTCTACTCGCGCTCAGGCTGAGACACAGCTGTGCTGGGAGCCTGAGTTGGACAGTGATGAAGAACAGCTGGGACAAATCCCGGATGCGCGAATGCGCAGAGAAGAGAGGCGAGCAAGACAGAGGAAGGCAGTGGGGCGGCTCCAGAGGGAAATGAAAAGCCACTAAGAAGCCACTCCCCAGCTGGATTTTTAAGGGGGAAGGTGTGGGAGGTGCTGGTTGCTGAAGGCAACTGTGCATGCTGAGGATTGTGTTTTTGTGGAGTGCATTGCTTGCCTCTGAAGTCTTGGACATTGAGTCAGGTGTGTAAAAATAAAAGGGGGTTGTTTTTTTCTTGTGGGTCCTGCCTGGTTCCATAAAGAGGGGTTTCTTCTCGTGAGTAAAGCAGTTGAGCAAGTACTCACGTAGGCTGGGACAGAACAGGAAAGTGTCTTCAGACAATGCTGGCTCCCTTGGTTAAGAAACAGATAAGCACCAGGCCTTAGAATCGGACACTATTGTGCAGGGGAAACCTTTACCTTATATATTCATGACTTCATGATGTATGCATGGTCATTTTGGTGTCATTGTGGCTTACTGCAGACCCCGATGATCCTTGATCGATTTGATGGATTGATAAATGTTCCATCAAGTGGTGTCAGCTGTTAGTGACCACGTAGAAAAGCACATTATTCTCCATGACTAGTGATAATTACTAGTCTCATATTTGCTCTCTTGTCTTCAGAAAATGGTGTTTTACAAATTTATTCCATACCAAGTGTCCTATTATGTATTTTTTATCACCTTCTTTTATAGCTTTATTGTGTTTTGTTTCATTGCCTTGGCTGGCGCACACAAAAGAGTGATTAATCAACTGAGGGAACAATTAGCTACGGTAAGTTTTAATCTTAAATGATATTTATTAATGCTTTCCCTCTACTTTGCTCTTAATGAATGCATAATTTTATTCATCAGATATGCACTTGAGTGAGACGTGGCTTTGCTTATGGTTTTGCCGGAAGCACAGATAGAAATACCATACCAATTTTTATACATGTCAAATTTATGTGTAATGTTTGGATCTAGTGCAGGGGTCTTCAAACTTGGCCCTTTGATGACTTGTGGACTTCCAGAATTCCTCAGCCAGGCACGCTGGCTGAGGAATTCTGGGAGTTGAAGTCCACAACTCATCAAAGGGCCAAGTTTGAAGACGCCTGATCTAGGATCTCATTACCTTCTTACAAGTTTGGGCATGCATTAGTTTGGGAGGCTGTCATCTCTGGCAGCAGCGTCTTCTGTTGAAAAAGCATGGGAAGATCTTATTAATTTATCTTCCACTGTGTTAGATTTTGGATCTAGTCGGCTAATACATGCCCAAACTTGTAAGAAGGTAATGAGATCCTAGATCAGGGGTCTTCAAACTTGGCCCTTTGATGACTTGTGGACTTCCAGAATTCCTCAGCCAGGCACGCTGGCTGAGGAATTCTGGGAGTTGAAGTCCACAAGTCATCAAAGGGCCAAGTTTGAAGACCCCTGATCTAGGATCTCATTACCTTCTTACAAGTTTGGGCATGTATTAGTTTGGGAGGCTGTCATCTCTGGCAGCAGCGTCTTCTGTTGAAAAAGCATTGGAGGATCTTATTAATTTATCTTCCACTGTGTTAGATTTTGGATCTCGTCGGCTTGTGAGTCTAAGCACTGTTTATTTGTATTTTGCTGGATTCACAATGCGATTTATTTCGTTTGGGCTCACCACGTTGACGGATGGGATGTTAGCTTGAGTGTGGCTGGTTTGGCCTGCAGTCCAGGCCAACGGCAGTTTATCCGCTAAGCCATTGTTAGTGAGGACACGTCTGCATCAGAGCTCACCTGGTTTCTGTCTGGTATCTTCCCCAGGAGAGTCGGGACAAGCTCTTCCTGATCCAGCAATTGACGAAAGCGCAGATGCTTCGCTGGGATCACATTTTCGATCCCCTCGAAGGGAACGTTACGTCCAAGCAAGGAGGTGCCGGCTTTAGCAAATAACTGGAGTCTCTCATCATCGCAAACTGGGACGGACACGTTCAGTTTGCTGTAGATGGAGGATTGTCTGCAGCGCTGTCTTCGGTCGCGTTAAGAGTGCCCGACTGCTGTGATGGCACCACACGAGAGTAAACTCTTCCTTAAAAAAAGAGGAGGAGGAGGGGAAGTCATGGGAGATGGGGGGTGCACGATGATGAACCACTGTGACTTACATTGATGTGTACAGCATCAGGACACAAGTGTAATATTTAGTGTCTCTTAAACTGTAGAGGTGGTCCTTGATTTAGGAAACTTGCCCGTTCAAGGTTCCTGTGGACTCCCCCAAAAGTAGTTACAACCCAGTTGTGAAATTCCCACAGCCCCCACTCCCCAGGTCACGTGAGCAAAATCCAGGCACTCCGCAACCCAGCCTGCGTTTACGGCCGTTTGCAGTGTCCTGAAGTCCCACGGCTGATTTATCACGTTTTTGCCCAAAACTCCTGTTTACTTGCAGGGTTTGTTTTTTTTTTTTTTTGGCAAAAACACCCCATAGCAAACAAAGAGTTTGGTGACTTGCTTACCAACCTAACCCCCAAAAAAGAAGAAGGTAAAATCGGGTCAGTCACATGATGACCTGCTTTATAACTGTCACGACTTACGACCGTAATAAACAGGCTCCATTGTAGTCGTTAAGTCGAGGACTACCTGTATTCTGTTGGGATTTGGGAAGCATCCCTTTTCTTTCTTTTAAAGTTTTATTATTATTATTTTTAACAGAGTTCAATAAGAATTATTCAACAAAAGCGTGTTGTCCGAGTATCTTATTCACTAATGCAAATTAAATTCCTAATCCCTACGTCTTTTCTCTAACCATTGATAAAATAGGTCCCAAGTTTGAAAATATTCTGTTTCTTCTTTTTTCTTTCAACCTTAAAGCAAGTCTGTCCATTTCTGCGCAGTCTAATTGGGAAGCGTCCCTTTTCTGTCCCAGCCCCTGGCCTCTGGAAGAGCATCCCCACCCCGTATCCCGAGAACTTTCCCACTCCAGTGATGTCCCCAAAGTCTTTGAAAACATAGCTGCTTCCCCATGCTTTGGGAATACTTTGGGCATTGAGCCCTGTGGCATTTAATTTGTTACAGGAACAGTCATTTTCAGATTTATGTCCGTGATGTTTTACTGTTTTCTTTTATTATTATTATTGTTTGATGGAGATAAAGTTTTATGGAGTTGGCTGAGGTTCTAAACCCAATCAGTAAAGAAAGTCAAAAGGTCAGGGACTGCTGGTCAGTACTGAACAATCACAGTTGTTGAGATTTCTGAACTACCAGTCTCCAGATCCCTGGCCTTGGGTACAAACCACTTTGATCCCCCTGTTGCCGGCAGTCAGAAAACAACCACAAATCTTAAGGCAGAAAAGCTGAAAATCTTAATGAGGGCGGGGGTCCGAAAGCTTCGTCAGCGACTTGACCATGTAACTTTTGTTATAGAATCATAGAAATCATCCAGGTAGTCTTTGTTTTAGCAACTGCCTCATTTAGCAACTGTTTGCAGTTACGACGGTGATGAAAAAGTAACTTTATGATCAATTCTCTCATTTATGACCCTCGCGGGTCGCAAAAGGAAAGCTGAAATAAGATTATAAGCACAGTGGCAGTTTCACTTAGTGACTTGTCTCACTTAACCACTGAGTTGCTGGTACCAATTTGTGGTCACTAAATGAGGACTGTCTATACTTTATTTGGGGGAGAGGACAAAACATCTGGCGTAATGTTATAAACTTGAAATGTCACATCTGCATTTGAGAACTGCACCTGTTAAGGGTATGTTAAGACTGGCCCCTCGATGTATTTGTAGAACTAAGCAACGATGGAAATGCAATAAATATACCATGAAATCTTCGTAGAAACAACATGCTTTTATTTGTGTTTGGACAGTTTTAAAAGATGATCGGGCTAACCAAAGAAAATACTTTATAAGAAAAGATACTCAAAACAGCTTCATCAGAATAAAATTTTTGCAATGTCGTAGCATCATCGTCAGTTACATAATCAGCGCATAAGTTATTTATACCTACAATAAATTCCCATCATTTATTATCATTTAGTCAGGATTTGGCTAAAATATGGGGAAAACATCATAAAAACACAATACTGATTATTTGACTGCTATGAACACTCAAATACTGTGTTAAATTGGATTAGGTTGAGCAATAAATGAAGTAGCAGCCAGAACATTTAACAGAATTAGACACAACTCAGTTTTAAAATACGCTGTTTTAGGTTCAGGGGTCTGAGCTGAGAAAATTTGGGGAAACAGAAAAATAAACTCCTTGTCTGGAAAAATATGGCCTTATTTTCATGATCAGTATTGTCCGGAAAGGAAGCACATTTAGAAGTACTAGTTCTAACTTCATTTTAAAGTTACATAAATACTGAATCTTAAAACCAGCATAATGCTTGGAGCAGTGGAAGCTATAATCCAACAGGTCTAGAAGAAAAACGCCCTGAGAGAAGTCTAGAGATCTGCAATAAATCATCTAACGGTCTACCAAATTGTTGCGACATCCTTGAGCAAATTCGGATTATTACAAAATAATGTAAAGGTGTGTAACTTCTCGAGCATCGAATGAAATGCAAAGCAGTCACTGGCAAGGAAAATTTAACAAGATTTTTACTTCTGTTTTTCATACTGATGGGACACTTCCTGTGGGATGGTGCCATTTTCAGGAGCCTTCAGAAGTTGCTAAAGAAACATTACCATCTTGGGGTTGACGCCCTCCTTCGGTGTCATGTTTTCACCCTACAAGGAAAGAAATTTTAAAGAGATACGTCTAAATTGGGTTGTGTTTTTTTTGTCATCATCTGGAAATTTAAAGCAAAAATATGTCCTCCCAGCGAATGGCGGGCAGATGTATAAATATTTTTTCAACAAATAAGAACTAGCTAATAGATACTTGGGCTCCTCAAGAGACTTTATCATTCTGCTTGTTATGATCTAGCCCACTTTTTCCTCATCTTGGGCAATTTTTAAGATGGGTGGACTTCCAATTCCCAGAATTCCCCAGCCAGCATGGCTGGATGTGATCGAGTCTGGCGCTGGTTTGCAAGAGAGAAGGGCTTTTTCTCAAGGAAGTAAAAAACAAATCAACCTTGAGAAAGAGACCCAGAAGGGATCCTCCCTAAAACCTTCCCAAGATTTAACTGATCCTTATGCAGAGTGTGGTTTAGTCTGGCAAGATTCCTGTCTACAGGCAAACAGCAATAAACTACTCTGAGCAACTCATCCTGTCGTTCTTGGTTCCCTGCTAGGGAATTCTGGCACCTATCTTAAAGTCGCCAAGATTAATGAAATGCTGGGCTATCTCAATTTTTTTCTGAAAAGCATAAAACTGGAATAGGAACGCCAAGTCAACTGTCACGTCATTTGAAATAATGGAAACTACTGGCCAGCTGTTTGGAACGTGACAGTCTATGAATACAACATGTTAACATCCGGAAGCAGTCACCAAAATGCACGGAAAAGCTCAGTTTCAAACAATTTACCGTCTGTTCGCGTAACCAGCTTGACGATCTGGCACTGCTTGAGAGAGGAGTTGGTGAACTCGTCATCGGATAGTCCCCTGTCCAAACTTTTCAAAAGCACTGTAGCTTTCCCAGGAAATCCGATCTCCTGCTCTTCCTTGATTTCACACACGCAGTAATTTGGTAGTTTGGAACATCTGCAACCAGCTGGAGCCCTGGGTGGGATGCAGATGGCCTCCTGTTTAGAGGACTCTTCTAACGCACGCAAGCTATTGACGTGATCCTCTGCTGCATGGGCGACTCGGGGCTCCTTCCAAGAGAACGACTGGTTCGATTCGCTCTCAGTCTGATCAGCAGGTGCTTCTTGAGTCATCTCCTGGCAAAGCTCATGCAGAAAAGTCGGTCCTTGTTGGACTGTAGAGTTACATCCTTCTTTAATGTATCCTGTGAGCCCACATTCCTCTGGGTAAGATGCAGTGGCACCATCCCCATGATCCCCATCATCATCAGAGCCTCTTACTCGACGCCTCTCCAAGCCAAGAGAATCCCAATTTGCAAAGTTGACCTGATGGCCTCTGGAAGCGGTTCGGGATAGCGAATCCCTTCCTTCCCGTTCGTCTTTAAACCCGTTCCTTTGCGTGCATTTCGCAAGCTTTTCTCCGGGATCATTTTGGTGGGGTTTAGGACCACTGGCCCTTTTCAGGATAGAGGACCCGGAAACCTTTTTTCCGCTTGTTGAACGCTGGCTGCTGTAAATTTCAGCCGTTGACCTGGCAGAGGGGTGAGTGCGGCTCACTTTCGACACTTCCTGTCCTTTGGTTTTCGAGACGGCCGAACGTTGAAGCCGATCTTCATGGGCTTTGGATCCAAGTGCCTGGCTTGGTTTTGGAGCCAGGGGCTTTCTCGATGGACACTTCTTGCTTGAAACATTTTCACCGGGTTTGGAAGAGGACTCCTGTCTTCTGATTTTAAACGATGTACGAGAACGCATACCGGCATTATCTGTACTTTTCAAAGAGGACACAGAGTTCTTCTGCTGAGTATTCCAAGCAGCCATGGACAAAATTCTCTTAGATTTAGCTGGAGAAGTACTGGAAGCATTTGAAGGTTTGGCCTTTCCATTTATCTCTTTATCGCTTTGTCTTGTTCGGCTTTGTTGGCCTCTGAAAGATCAAAACACGAGAGCCGTCAACTGGAGCTTTCGAGGTCTGATAACTGGAGCTTTCGAGGTCTGTTAAATCAGGCGGTCTGTTAAACAGCAAATGGGATTTTATCTATGGGCAAAATTGGGAGAGGGAATGTTTTTTTTATTGTGTCTCAAGTCCACTAAACCCAAATCAGCAAATGGAGAGTTTGCAGTATGCTCTTCTCATCTTAAAACAAGATGCCAACAACCATGATACTCCTAGGCTTTCGTACCTTCTCGCTTGATCCTCATGAAAAAGGACGGTGGAAAAATCCTTCTTGCGGAAACTCTTCACACTCTTCGTCTCTCTTCTCTTAAGCCCTTGAGTTGTTTCCATTTCTTCTGGGGACATTTTAGAAGTCTAAGAAAAGAAATCGACAGAAATAAAACTCTTTCCCAAGTAAGTTCATAGGACATCCATCCAGGGGAACTCAAATCTACCCAGGAGCTGACACTAGGACAGAAATGCTGCATCCTTCTCAAAATACAAACTCTTATTCATTTAAATCAAGAACGTGATTCAGTAGCTCTCCATCGTAACTGATCCTCAGCATGCTGAAAGTTGGATTCCAGCCATATGTAGACAGCCTCTTCTGGTTTACAACATTTGTTGAGTACTTACAATAAATTAACCTCATCAGAAGTAAACTGCTTTCAAGTTTACTCTTATAATAAGAACTTAATTACCAGGAAGGGGGGGTGGGTCAAATTCAGCCATCAAGACTTAAATTTATATAGGGTTCCACAATTAACTGGAAACAGTATGATGGTAGGAGTCACCTTGCCAACTGGCATTTCCAGAAGAAGGAACATAACGGCTTCCATCCCATCTCCCTCCGTTCTGGGCTTATGAAACAGGACAAAAGTACAGTAAGTATGCAAATAATAAAATAAGAGGGGGATGGAAGGAGCAGAACTGTCAAAGCGGAGGAAGAATGTAATAAGAGCCAGCCACTTTTAGCAGAATGTTCAACAATTTATGAATTTACCAATACCTCCTTTCGAAACAAATGCTTCCGCAAACTGTTATATATAGTCAATAAATAAATCTCGTAAGGGACAATTTGTTTGCACAGCCTGTTGAGCCATAAAGGGTAAATTCTCCTCTCCCGCAGATCAAACAAATTAGACAGTGGATGAGTTTACAAAGTGGACTAAGCTGTCGTTTCGATGAGCTATTACTGGTTCAGGATTTGCACTGCAGACTATGGTTTATCAACTGCCCGGTTTATGTTTAAAGAGTAAGCTAAAAGAAGCCCCCCCCAAAAAATTACAGGCACTCCTCGACTTACAACTATTCGTTTAGCGGCCGTGGGAAGTTACAGCAGCCCTCGAAAAAAGTTACAGCCGTTTCTCACGACCGTTGCAACATCCCCGCGGCCCTGTGACCACGATGCGACCACTGTGGTTCGCTTAACAACTGGGGTTAAATGGAAGTTTGTAAAATCAGGCATGGCATCCTTTAGCAACCGCCTTTTTTTTTTTTTTTTAGCAACGGAAATTGCGGTCGTAAATCCAGGAGTACTTGCACCATTTTGCACATCATTTTGCACATCAGAGTCAGGTATGGGTTAGAAAAAGACACGTACCACGGCAACAATAAGCTTGGATGCTGATGAAACCAGTCTTTTCACTTCTTCTGGTGATATGCGTGGAACAGCGTTCAAATAGAGTTTGGAGAGGCTGCCTTGCAGCTTGTTCGGCCTGGCGGAGAAAAGTACGCTTAGTTCAAAGGGACCACAAGTTTTTTAATTTGTTTTTAATTCATGGCTATTAGTCAGAGCAGATTCCCCAAAGGCGAAAATGGGCCTCGCTTATTCCAAACCCACAAAGCAAGCAAGCTGTCTCTGGACTATCCTAGTTCAGTTCAAAGGTCTGGATCCATCTCCAGATCCAGAAGTATCTCCTAGCACAAATTACGATGCGAGGCAGAGTTGAGGGTGCGAGTCCAACACTAAAGGGCCCATTATCCTGTGGTTTACAGGACAACCAAGTTCTTAAGAGTTACCCAATATATATATTTAAAATGTGAGCTAGTTGAATTCATCAGGATTGTTATCGGCAGAATATAATGCAGGCTTCCCCGCCCCCCACAGACAGAAACCATCACGCTCAACATTACCTTGTCCTGTTCTTCATTTTCATCTCGTTTATTCTGTCAGGTACATAATCCTACAAGCAAAGAGGCAGAGAGTATTGTTGGCTTGTCTGCTGTCAAGACATAATACAGATTCTTTTTAGAAAGTAGGAAAGCGTGCAGCGAAATCCCATCCAAAATGGATCAATTTTGATACATTTGTCAATTATAGAAAGGCTAGGTCAGGTCAATAAACGTAATGTGGACAAACATGGTTTGTTCGTTTCATTACTCCGTTCATTTTCATAATGAGAAACTGAATTGCTTTCGTTCTTTCTTGGCAAACTCACATTTGCTCCATTCCCAATTAAGCACCTCCTTTCAAATTGCTGCTTCACAACCACAAGTTACTTTCCTAGAATGTCCCAGGTATTATAAGCTTGGAGTGTTCTGGGAAAGTAAAGAAATTTACAGAGATATAAACAAAAACGTAGGATATTTCTCTTTCAGGATGTGATCCAGTTAGGAACATACGGTATCTTTGCAGCCTATTGGTTGACTTATATATATAAAAAAATAACGAGGCGTGAAAGGGCCACTACTGATGGTAAGAATATTATGGCTTTAATGCAGCTTGGAGATGATGATGATGATGATGATGATGATGATGATGATAATAATAATAATAATAATAATAATAATAATAATAATAATAATAATAATAATAATAATAATAATAATAGAAAGAAGAAGAAGAAGAAGAGGAGGAGGAGGAGGAGGAGGTGGTGGTGGTGGTCAGATTGGTCAGAACTTTTATATCTTGCCCTTTTGATCCACCTCTTCCCCATTTAAGCCGGTCCTCTTTCATCGGAAAGAAAGTTTGACTAGTACCAGATACTGGAAGTGCCATCAACTGGTTTGGTGTTGCAATGTCTTCCAACCTCAGCCATTTTAAAATGCAGGGACTTCAACTCCCAGAATTCCCTAACCAGCATGTTTTCAGATATGTGGACTTGCTGGCTGGGGAATTCTGGGCGTTGAAGTCCACACATCTTAAACTTGCTGAGGTTGAGAAATACTAGTCTAATGAATATGAACTGGAGTAAAAAAAATAGCCCCTATTTTGTCCCCCTTACATGAAATATATAAAATGATGAATCTGAGTATTACTCGGGCCATCTTTTTAATAAGCTTTTCCACTTCCTTTTGCTTGGCTAGGTTTCCCTGGATTTTCCTATTACATTCTTCAGCATTGCCAATGTAGGCTCGGAGGAATGCTTCCAGCTTAATCTTGGCAAAATTATGTTCCTTTGTCCTCTGCTCAGTCAGGTAAGCAGGGTGCTGCAAGAAAATTAAAAAAAACACCAAATGTATTAAATAATATACAAATATCTATCTATCTATCTATCTATCTATCTATCTATCTATTCTCTAGCTGACTAGCAATATCTAGCTAGCTATTATCTATTAAATAATATATATCCATCTACTATCATCTGTCCATCCATCCATCCATCCATCCATCCATCCATCCATCCATCCATCTATCTATCTTATTCAATTTCTATAGCCGCCCATCTCAAATATGTTTTTTCAGCATAAAGGTTTAAAAGTTTATTCAGAGCAGAAACTAGCCTAAGTGTATTATGTCAGCACCCAATAGTTTCCATCTGCCACAATTATGGCACAAGAAATTTCACGGTCCTGATCGTTTAATAGGAAATGGCATTAACAGATTGATTCAAGTAATTGTGATTAGAGAGATTATCCTCCAAGTGTGATAAATAGGGCTTTTCAGGACATGCTTGGCTGCCTCAGTTGGGCATAGCTGGATCTTGTGGTAAAGGTGCTGGCCTAGAATCCAGGAAATTGAGTTTTAGCCCTCCCTTAGGCATGAAAGCTACCTGCTAACTTTGGGCTAGTCCTTTCTCTTGGCCCAGTAAAGTCACAAAAAAAAAACCAGTAATCAAATTTGGTTTAAAAAAAACATCAAATGCATAGTCTGTGCAGACACATCTGCAAAGGAAACATGCCTGTGTTTGGAATTTGGGATTCAGCTACATCAGGGGTCTTCAATCTTGGCCCTTTTATGACTTGTGGACTTCAACTCCCAGAATTCCTCAGCCAGGCACACATGCCTGGCTGAGGAATTCTGGGAGTTGAAGTCCACAAGTCATAAAAGGGCCAAGTTTGAAGACCCCTGAGCTACTAGATAGGTAGGAAGGCTTACCAAATAGAAGTTTTCAGCCTCATCCCAGGAGAGGCCTGACGACTGGAAGGAGTTTTCCTTTCTTTGCACCTCAATGTAATACTTTCTAGGGAAAGAAAAGCATGTTTTTCAATGGATCATTGCCCACCACCACCGTTAAAATCTCATGCCCAGAAAGTGTTTGACTGTCCAGACTAGTGCCCCAAACGTGTTGTGATTGTAGCATGGCTGTATCAATTTGCAGGCGAAAAAGGGAAGAGGGGCTTGATTTAGTCTATCTTTTAGACAACCTTTTAATCTAGTTCATTAAATGTATATGCCACCCAATTCCCAGCAACCCAGAGTTATCTATCTATCTATCTATCTATCTATCTATCTATCTATCTATCTATCTAGTTATCTATCTATCTATCTATCTATCTAGTTATCTATCTATCTATCTATCTATCTATCTATCTATCTATCTATCTATCTATCTATCTATCTATCTATCTATCTATCATTATATCTATCCATCATTATCTATCTGTCTTCTCTATCTATTTATCCATCATTGTCTGTCTGCCTGTCTTGTCTGATCTATCATCTACCTACCTACCTACCTATTATTTATTATCTGCCTATCATCTATCTATCTATCCATCCATCTATTCTGTCTCATCTGTCTATCATCTCTGTCTATCATCTCTGTCCGTCTGATCTATCTATCTATCTATCTATCTATCTATCTATCTATCTATCTATCTATCTATCTATCTATCTATCTATCTATCTATCTATCTATCTATCCATCCTATGGCAATAATGTTAAAAAACACATCACAATTGCATTCTCAAAGATCAAATATGAACCTATTTAGTCTATTTAAAAATTCAAAGATAGACTCTTTAAAAACATGTAAAAACAAGGGGGAAATGCCAAAAATAAAAAAACAGGATGGGGACAAACAAACAAAAAGACATATATAAATTAACTCATCCACCCAGAGGATGGAATGGAAAGCACTCTGCACATTCTCAGGAACCCGCACACCCCTCCCCTGCTTCCCAGGGATTTCTTCTCTCCCCGGCCCAGCCCTTACAGCAGATGAGCTACCGAGCGGGCCAGCCTTCGCTCCGACCCCAAGCCGCCCAGCAGCCCCGCCGCCATCGATCCGGCCCGGAGCCCAAACAATGCGCGTCTCCACCCAACCCAGAGCCCGGGCCGCGTTCTGTGGTTCCCCTGACAACCGCCGGAGGAAGTACCTCTCGGGGAATTGACGGCGGTTTTCTCCAATCGGAGAAAGTATCCGATCTGGGGGCGGTCGCTAATGAGAACATAGAGACGAAAAATAGAACGGCGTGTTTCGTTTGTGGAGGATCGAACGAGTTGATTAAGTCTTACGTCACAGGGCGCCACGAAGCGGTTGTGGCAGCGGGCGCCCCGTTACGTCATCAATCCGCGCCAAGCAGAATGGCGAAGGCCGCGGCGGGCTGTGGCCTTTTGCTGATCCGTGAGCAGTACCTGCTCAGCGCCCGCAGGGAAGGTAGAGCGCGGGCGGGATTCCTCCCTCTCCCCTCGGGATCCCCACGTGATTCTCCCAACTCTGCCCTTAGAACCCTCAGTCGGGTGCCTCCTTTGCCCTCCCTGGATTAACTGCCCTACCGGGCGCTTTCTAACTACGATTCCCAGAATTCCCAGCAGGCAGCCATGTTGGAAAGGGGCTTTGGTGCAGCCCGTTGGAGGAGGTGGCTTGGATGGGAGTCTGAGCAGGTGTCTAAGGAAGTGCCGGTATTGAGTTCACCAAGCGCTCTCCTATTGCTACTATTACTGTTCCTCCTACTAATAGCAGCAATATTACTACTATTAGAATAGCCCCTACTGTTCTTCATTGCGTTTTATTTTTTAAAGTGGTTATGGTGGTTTTATGGGTTTGCCTGTTGCTTTTTAAGTTGCTTTTATTGGATTGCTGTCTTTAGCCACTTCAATCAATAATTCTATCCCATTATTCTATTCTATTCTATTCTATTCTATTCTATTCTATTCTATTCTTCATTCCATTATTATATTCCATTCCATTCCATTCCATCTTGATTATGTAATTATTTAACCTCACCAGAGGTTTTTGAGATTGGACAACCATTTGTACAAAATGTTATAGGATCTCCTCCCGAAGCAGGGGGTTGGACTAGAAGACCTCTTAAGGTCCCTTCCAACTATTATTTTGTTAATATTGGTTCACTTAGGCCTTGATTGAAAATCACAAGATGGTGAGGACTCAGAAGATAAACACAGTGGCCTTCTACAACCAGGGGAAAAGTTGATTTTTTAAAAAAAATGAATTCCATATGCTTAGAAAGCTCTGAAAAAGTTCAAGCGATGACTGCAATCTTCTTTGATAGTAAATCAATGATTGTCTGTTTGGCAGGTGCAAAAGGAAGATGGGGCTTGCAATTCCTATGCTCCCCTTACAGATTTTGTAGTACCGGAATAATTTTGGATGACATCAACAAACCGGTTATTGACCGAATAATCAGAGTGGATCACGCAGGCGAATATGGGGCAAATCGCATTTACGCCGGTCAGATGGCTGTGTTAGGCCGAAGTTCAGTTGGACCAGTCATTCGTGTAAGCGTTTCTACCCCGCTTGTTCTGATTCTTTTTCTGTGCCTTAAGTTCAACTGGCAACCAAAACAGATTTTTATTACAATTATTTTATACAGTTAATTATCCACAATGATTTGTGAAGGAAACCCTTGTTGGCTGGCGTCCTATGTTGTCCAGGGGTCTTCAAAGTTGGCAACTTTTAAGACTTGTGGACTTCAACTCCCAGAATTTCTCAGCCAGCCCTGGTTGGCTGAGGAATTCTGGGAGTTGAAGTCCACAAGTCTTAAAGTTGCCAAGTTTGAAGACCCCTGTATTAAACCATAACACAAGTAGTCCTTGACTTACAACTGTTTGTTTTAATGACAGTTCACAGTTACAACGGCCTCGGGGGGGGGGAAAGGGGGTTTACAGCCTGTCCTCACATTTATGACTGTCATGTGGTCATATGATTGCAATTCAAGTGTTGGCAACCAGCTCACATTTATCACTGTTTGTGGCATCCTGCAATTATCTGTTCAAAATCTGAGAGCTTCCCAGTCAGTTTCCGACAAAAAAAAAATCAATTGGGGGAAGATGGATTGACTTTTTTTAAAAAAAAAAGCCACGTGATTTCCTTAACAACTGCAGCAATTTGCTTAGCAACCACAGCAAAAATAGTCATAAAATTGGTCGTGGTCACCGGGTGACTCACTGTGACTGACTTAGGACAGAAATTCAGGTCCCAACTGTGATCGCAAGTCAAGGACTATCTATATGATTGGATTAGGTCTGGCGTGGACTGTGGCTTGCATCTAACCATTGTTTATTGAAAATGTGGCTTGTGGCTCAGAGCAGTGCATGAACTCGGCTCATATGGGCTTCATGTTGGGTTAGCACAGTGGTTCTCAACCTTTTTAATGCCGCGACCCCAACCGGTTGTAAGTCGAGGACTAAACCGGTCATAAGTCGAGGACTAAACCGGTCGTAAGTCGGGGACTAAACCGGTTGTAAGTCGAGGACTACCCAACCGGTCGTAAGTCGAGGACTTTCCCTGCCCGGGAGCGCCGCGCATGCGTGGTTCCGCCCCCTGCGCCGGCCGAGGCGTAGCTGGCAAGGGGCAGAGACGGAGCAGGCCAACCACCAGCTGGCCCAGCCCAAGGGAGGTAAGGCACCCGCCGGAAAAGGGGAAAAAAATGGCAGACAAAAAAAATGGCGGACAAAAAAAATGGCGGACAGCCTTGCTTGGCGACCCCCATGAAATGGTCGATCGACCCCAAATGGGGTCCCGACCCACAGGTTGAGAACCACTGGGTTAGCAGAACTAAGAGACTGCAGTATCTCCAGATTGAGACAGCATACAGATAGAACATTTCTTGAACATTGGGAAACTGTCTTTATGTTTTTATTTTAATCCAGCATATGTTGGAACAAGAGAAGAACCATTTGAAACAAATGAAGGACTTGATGATTTTGTACAGAGTCCGTCCAACCATTTTGTTACCTGTGTGGGACGTTGCAGGCTATATGTTAGGTGAGCATCAGTGTTCTTATTTTCCTAATATATATCTATATCTGTGATATGTATCCTCCACGCACAGCCATGATGTTGATGTTTTCATTTTAGGTGCTGGCACAGCTTTGCTTGGGAAAAAAGCTGCTATGGCCTGCACAGTGGCCGTAGAAGAAAGCATCGCTGACCATTATAACAACCAGATCAGGGTCCTCGTGGAAGAAGATCCCGAGAAATATAAGGAGTTATTACAGGTATCCGTGTGTGTTAAAAAGATACGGATATAATGTAACGTATGATATTATTTTTGTTTCATTTAGAGCAGTGTATTTCAAACTTGGCAAATTGAAGATGTGTGGACTTTCAACTCCACAGCATACTGGCTGGGGAGTTCTGGGAATTGAAGTCCAAAACACCTTAAAAGTTCTTCAGTATGGCTGGGGAATTCTGGGAGTTACGATAGATAGATAGACAGACAGACAGACAGACAGACAGACAGACAGACATAAATAGATATAGATAGATGTGATTATTTAGCATAATAGATAGATGGATATAGATTATTTAATAAATAATAGCTAGCTAGATATTGCTAGCTAGAGGATAGACAGACAGATAGATATAGATGAGATTATTTAACAGATAATCGATGATAGTAGATGGATATAGATTATTTAATAGATAATAGCTAGATATTGCTAGCTAGCTAGATGATAGAGATATAGATTGATAGATGAGATTATCAGATAATAGATGATAGTGGATATAGATTATTTAATAGATAATAGTTAGATAGATATTGCTAGCTAGAAGATAGGTAGGTAGGTAGATAGATTTATTTGAGAAGGAATCTGGTGGGCCAAATTTCATTTTTTTTACAAGTTACATAGTTTTTGTTTTCTCACTTGACTTGCTTCTGGGATACACACCCTCCCTTCCCCACCAGATCATCAAGAAACTTCGGGATGAAGAGATGCAGCATCACGACACCGGACTTGACTACGATGCTGAACTGGTAAGTTGGCAACTACATCCTCAGAATTTGCATAATCAAAAGCACCCTAGCTGGCTCAGGAATTCTGGGAGTTGAAGTCCATGGGTCGTAAAGTTGATAGAGCCTATGCTCTATCAAGACATATTGAGAAGGGATGCGAGTGGCAAGAATTTCAGCAACTGGACCATGTCCCAAAGGGGAATAGTGGGAATAGATCTCAAAGCATCTAAGGGTGCTTTTTTTTTTAATCTTCATCATTTTCTTCTTTCCTGCCCTTTCAGGACATCCAGAAACTGGTAGATCTCTTTGCTGGGAACAGAGGAACTGTTTCCGAGAAACTGTTTACAAAACAGTTGAACCCTTATAGAACTGGAGCAATTGAGACACCATTTCTTAAAATAGCATTTAACAAAATAAAAGAGAATAATAAAAGGGGAATTTTTTTTTTCCTGCGGTTCCAGCCTGCTTGTTGGAAGAGGGGTTTCTCCTTGTGAGCTCAACAAGGACTCACGTGGGACTGGGACAGAACAGATAACGGAAAATATAAAATACCGTAGTTCTAATATTCAGTGTTCTTTCTTTTTTTCTTTCATAGACACCGGGATACTTCGTTTTGAAGAATGCTATACAACTTGGATGTAAAGCAGCCATATTTTTATCGGAAAGAATTTAAATTTGGTCCCGGTAGATTTATTGCGAATCAAGAGGTTATTACTTCTGTGTTTCCAGTAGAGAGAAACTATCCTTAGACCTTGTGGAAAAGTCTCTAGATGGGGATTCTTTTATTTTCTTAGTTCTTCCTGTCAGTTGGGGAAAGCTGGGGATGGTTACCATTTTGGCTCGTCTGTCTGAAATTGCTGGAAACTTGCTGGAGAAGTTTAGACAGCTCTTTTCACGCGCTTTCCAGCTGAAAAACTGACCGCAGTTTTGCTGCAATTTCCGGGGCAATTGCAACATCTTTTTTTTTTTCCAACGAAAGGAATTCCTTGTAGAATAGCCATTTAGCCTCCCCTCCCGGAGATACGTTAACTTATTATTAAAGTTTGTGCCGAAAAGCAAGTCACACTTCTTAAAAAAAAACCAATCACTGTGTTTTCAAACGGGAAGATTCGGGAGTAGACGTTGTTGAAATAAATGGTGCTTCATTTGAAAGATTTTATTTTAAGCTTCTTTTTTTTTCTTTTTAAGAGCAGCTTTAAGCGGGGGGGGGGGGGAGAGATGTTGTAAATCCTGCTAGCTAGGTCAAGTAAAATGGGGGCAAAATCCACTTAGCAGCTGTCTTGCCTAGCAAGAAAAATGTGAGGCTCAATTGCAGTGGTAAATCAAGGACTACCTATAATCCAGTTCCTTTCCACCCCCCCCCCTCGCCTTTCTCTGATCCCTTTTCTTCTGATCTGATTGCTGGCAGATTTCTGCCTTTGGAAAGGAGACGTGGCCCCAGATACAGAGGCTGGCAATCCTGGTCTGCTTGGACATCCTGGCTTGTCCCTCCCTCCTTCCAGCCACCGCCCCTGGCACGGCCCATCGTGGAGCCCGTTCGTTTGCTCTCTCTTTCCTCCTCCGTCTCCTCCTCCGCCTTCCACTCCTCTCTTGCGCTTCTCCCGCCCGGGCAGGGCTGGAGGGGGGCAACCCAGCGCCCGTCCCCTCGGGTCCCACCGCCCCTTCCTCCTCCTCCTCCTCCTCCTCAATCCCAGACTTTGGCATTTCCTCTGAGCTCATCCACTCAGTGACGCGCCGCGCTCCCCAGTCGGAAGAGGAAGCGAAAAAAACAAAAAAAAGTTTTTGCACAACTTGGCTGGTTCTGCAAGCGACGCCGTTCCTCCGCCGGGAACCGAGGCGGCCTCCGGCTCCAGGACGACGGACGCCCGGGCTGACCAAGCCGCAGCCGGCGACGGCCCTACAACCGCGAGTCGCCGCCGTCCCTTCGTCCAACCGTCAAGTCCCGGGGAAGTTTTGTTTGGGCGCCCGCGGGCGCCCGGCCAGACGAGCAGCAAGTAGCGGTCGCAGAGCTGGGAGCGAGCCCGTCCCGGGAGACGAGGGAAGCGGGAGAGGAGGCTGTCCTGCCCCGTCGGAGGAGCCAGAAGGCTGCCGGAGCCGCGGCCATGGGTTGAAGCAGCCAGAGCGGCGGGGCTCCGGCAGCAGCAGCGGCGCTGAGCTCGACGGGCGATGCACTCGCGGCGCGCTCAGAGGCACTGCTGCCAAGCCGGCCTTCTTCGAGGGACCTCGTCGCCCCGCCGGCCCTGAAGGCCCCCATGGCCGTCTACAGCCTCAACGTGCGCGTCTTCTGGCCGCTGCTGACCTGCGCCTGCACCCTCCTCGTCTGCCTGCTGCAAACGCTGCGGGGCAAGGCCGGCCCGACGGGCGGGGAAGCGGGCTGGCCGCTGCAGGCGCTTCTGAAGCGGCTGCCGTTGCCGCCGTTGCTGCTGCTGCTGCTCTTGCTGGCCGCGCTGGGCTTGGGCTGGCGCGCCTGGTGGACGGGGCGGCGGCAGCGGAGGCCCAAACGCGTCGGCGGCCCCGCCGCCGTCGGCAGCCCCGGCTCGGCCTGCAGCGGCCGGGAGCCCCGGCGCCGCGCCCTGCTGGACGGCTTCTACGAGACGCGGCTGCGGCTCTCGCCCCACGTGCTGGGCCACAGCAAAGCCCACGTCAGCCTGGTGGTGGGCGAGCTGGTGCGCGCCGGCAAGGCGGCCGGCCGGCTGGCCCTGCGCGGGGATTTCGTGCAAGTGGGCAGCGCCTACGAGCAGCACAAGGTGGGCAGCCCCGACGCCTTCGACGTGCTGCTGCCGCTGCGCCTGCCGCCCCGCCTGGAGCTGCGCGCCCTGCCTTGCGCCCCGGAGCAGCAGCAGGAGAGGCAGCCCGGCTCGCGGGGCGCCTTCCTCTGCGCCCTGCGCGTGGCCGCCGGCGCGCAGGGCTCCCCGAGCCGGGCTCTGTGCGTGGCCGCCGGCGAGGGCGAGGAGGCCGGGGCGCCCCTGCTGCTGTCGGCGGCGCTGGTGGCCCGCTGGTTCCAGGCGCAAGTGCAGCGCTGCCTCGGCGCCGTGCGCGCCCGCCTGCAGGAGCGCTGCCGGGTGCAGCTGCTGGCCGTCGGCGGGCCGCCCTCCCCGCTGGCTTTGCAGATCGCACCCCGCTCGGACTACGTCTGCTGCCACCTGTCTCTGACCGTCCACCTCACCCCGGCCATCCCGCTGGGCGAGGGGCTGTACCTCACCCCCTGGGTCTGCCCCCAGCCGTCGGCGGGGCCCCAGCTGGGCCTCTTCTGGACCCTCAACCTCTCCAAAGCGGAGCAGCGCTTGCTGGCCTGGCTGCGGGACCAAGTCCCGGCCGACTCCTGCCACCTGAAATGCCTGCAGATCCTCAAAGGGTTGAGGGAGCTGGGGGGCCGCGCTCTGGAGCCCCCCTGGGCCGCCCTTTGGGACCGGGTCCTCTCCTCCTACGTCCTCAAGACGGCGCTCTTCTGGGTGCTCCTGCGTAGCCCGTGGCAGGCTTGGGAGGACCGCTTGCTGGTGGCCCGGCTGGAGGACCTGGTGCTGTTCCTGGTGCAGGCGCTGCAGCGAGGGAGGCTGGCCCACCTGTTCCTCGGGAACCCCCATCTGCCTGAAATGCTGAGCTTGCCCAAATTCGTCAAGGAAGCCCTTCCGGTGAACCTGCTGGCTGATTTTGACCGGCCCACCTTGGAGAGGGTGGCTTCACAGCTGCTGAGCGTCTGGAAACAGGCGCCCAGGATCATCCGGGTCTACGGTGGCCACAGGTACCGAAAGCAGCATCTCACCTGAGGCTCCTTCTTCGCCCCTCGCCAGCCTGGATTTTGCACCCGAGATGAAGGTGGAATTGCTGTCTGTTCCCCAAGGCAACTTTCCTTGGGACTTTAGGGGCGGGGGCTAAGTCGGGTGAAAAATGGGGAGCTCAGTTCAATGGTGAGGACATCGGAAGGACCTTATCGTGAAGACTGTCTACATCGGACTTGAGGTCTTAAGAGTTGGACACGTGGGTTCCCTTCTGATCCTGTGCGGAACTTGGGGTCTGAGTCAAATTTGGGGTGTTTTTACCAGCAGGTTGGACACGAGGGGCTTGCCTGAAGGAGGGAGGTGTAGAAGATGGAGGGAGCATCACCAAAGTTCACCTAAGTTCAAGAGGGCATCTTCTTGGGGTTCACCAAAGTTCAAGAGGGCACCTTCTTGGGGTTCACCAAAGTTCAAGAGGGCACCTTCTTGGGGTTCACCAAAGTTCAAGAGGGCACCTTCTTGGGGTTCACCAAAGTTCAAGAGGGCATCTTCTTGGGGTTCACCAAAGTTCAAGAGGGCACCTTCTTGGGGTTCACCAAAGTTCAAGAGGGCTCTGCTTCTGACTTTTGCTCAGGGTTTCTGCCTTTGTCAAACAAAGGCGGGCAAAATGTTCAAGCCGCTTTTTGGTGGGTTTGAAGGGCAATTCTTGATAGGGAAAAGTTGAGAGTCCTACTTGGGAAATCTTAGGCTGTTATGACTCATTGCTCCTTCGTTTATTTTTTTTTATTTTTTTCCCCAGCCAAGTTAGGCATCGGAGTGGGCGTTCGTTGCCTGCTTTGGCATTTTGCCCGGTGTCTGGAAGCAATCTTGATTTTTTTTTTCCAGCGCAGGAGTGCTGGTCAAAGAACGAAAAGATAGGACTGCGGCCCTGAATGTGGCTGCTTATTATGGGCTGGAACAGAAGAGAAGAAAACACAGCCTCGTTAGGGTTTAGACCGGGCGTCTTCCAACTTGGCCCTTTGATGACTTGTGGACTTCAACTCCCAGAATTCCTGGGAGTTGGCTGGGGAATTCTGGGAGTTGAAGTCCACAAGTCTTAAAAGTTGCCAAGGTTGGACACTCCTGTCCTAAGGGACTTAATACCAATATGTATTCAGAGACCAAAATTAATAGCACTTTATGTTCATGAAAAGTTCTTTTTTTTCTTTGTTTTTTTTTTGGCATTGCCTAGGCTGTGTCAAATTTTCTGAAGCATTCGGACATGAATTAAAATAATGATAAACGGAGACATTCAGCTTGCTAATAGGCCGTCTTCTTTAAAAGACTCTTGATTCCACACACAGTGCAATATTGTTAATTGGAAAGCTGTCTTTTAATAAAAGCTGACCTCCAGAGCTTGTCATTGAAAAGGTTTGGAAAGAAAAGGATCAGTTAGACTTCCGCTGTTTGTTATTCCGGTGAATTCCTTGGCATTTGGCCACACCGACACCTTTCCCAGATTAAAAAACAAACAAACCAGGAAACGGGAGTCTTAAATCCTTCCTATAGGTAGTGACAGATTGAAGGTGCAAGGATGTGAAATTGTTCAGTAGGTAAAAAATGTTTCCTGGCATTGCAAGTTCCATTTAATTCAGTTTGTGTGCCGCGCATCAGATCTGTGAAGGCTATTTTACAGTGCCTTGTAGACTGCAGACTGAGATGTCCAAAATACATATTTTTTTTTGAAAAAAAAATCCAATCACCGTTTGTGTAATGCCACCATTTAGCTGCCAAATGTTGAAAATCATGTCTTTCTCTTTCTCTCTTACTCCCTCTCTTTCTGTCTTTTTCTCTCTATCTTTTTCTTTCTTCTTTCTTCCTCTCTCTCTTTTTCTCTCTTTTTTCTTTCTTCCTCTTTTTCCCTCTCTTTTTCTTTCTCTCTTTCTCCCTCTCTTTGTTTCTCCCTCTCTCTTTCTCTCTTGTTCTCGTTCACGTGTATAAGAGTAAACCCCCTCCCCCTCATACACACACACACAAATTCCACAGGGCCAGGAAACATTTTGAAAGCATGTTCCATGCTGCAGCCTGGAAGGTGGGAGGTGTACCACACAACAGGAGAACTACAACGGGACTTTCAAAATTAGCTTTATTTCAAGTGTCTCCTGCTTAGGTAGGAAATATGGGGGGGGGGGGGATTCAAAAAAGACAGAGATAAATCTCCTTTTGTGTGGTGTGCTGTTGGTTTCAGCCAAGGAAATGGAATCAGAAAGCCAGTTATGTGCAGTGTTAAAGATATTTTTTGTGATCTCAAACGACTTGACGTTGAGAATGATGAAGATGGTGTTTAAAGGGGTAGTAGCCATGGGTGGGCCGGTTGGCGGGCATTTCTCGGTGGGGCAAGGCAGTTGATGAAATGAGAAGAGTTGGCACTGATTGTGGATCCAAACATTTGCCAGAGGGCACCAGGTGCTAAGAAGGAATTATTTCCCCAAGTGTGGAATTCCTGAAGTTGGAACAACGACTGAACACATCTAATGGACTTTCTCTCATCAGCTGCAAATCTCAAGAAGGTCTTAACTTGTTTTGAAGTACGTTTCCAGAGCCCTGTTTTTGACTTGACTAACTTTTTTTCCCATAAGTTTCGGGGTTGGTCCTCATTCCTGAGATTATGAATAGTTGTTGCAGGCAGATGTATGAAATGTACGAACTCATGAAATACACACCCTTGGGAAGAAGTGGGCTGTTGGCTGAATGGGTGGGAAAGCTGGAAAAGAAATGTGAGCGTGAGAAAGATGATGAAACGAGTTTGAAGAAGCAGTTGAAGAAAGGAGAGCATTGAGGAAAAACATATGTGAAATCTCTGTTGGAGGATAGTTTTGTGAAACATTGGCTAAAAATAACCCATTTCTGGGTCGTTGCTCCTGGGCTAAACAAGTGTCTCTCACGTTGTAATTTTAAGATAGGCTTAATCCACCACAAAGAAGGTTAAAATTGGATCGGTCATATGACATACGACTAATGGACACGCAGTATTATATGTCAAGGACTAGCTGTGGTCCAGATCAGGAAACCAAGCTGGGCTTTAATTCATGTTTCTTCTACATCTGCTTTCTTCTAGCAGTTTCTATCTGTTTTCTCCGAGATCGTCTCGGTGGCTGCTTCTATGTGTTGAGAATTTATTTTGCGTTTTTTCCGGAGGTGCTTTTTTTTTTGAAGTTGCACTATTTTTGGGATGTGTTCTCAATGTTGTTCTCTAGTTGGCAAAGTTCCCTCGCGATTGTACGCCCCAGGGGTGGCACGGATGCGTGGGAAGCCACAGAAAAAGCAGTGGTGCAACAACAACACCTCTGTACACATTTTGGCTGCCTGGTCACTAAGTCACTGCAAGAACCTTCACAAATTGTGAAATTCTCTTTCACCGGTTTGGAAATTGGCAAAGCAGTGTGTGTTTCTGTGTGTGTGTGTGTGTGTCATTTTTGTGATTTTTACTAAAAGTTTAAATCGCCTAGAAAAACCCCTTGTCAAGGGAGTATTTAAAAGCACGTTTTCACGGCACGCTTCATCCTTGGCAAGCGATGTTTATGGTTTTGGTTTTATTAAAAAAAACTTCTATCAGTCCTCCAGATTTAATTTAATCAGGATGAGTCACCCGTCAGTCTCTGCAGAAATTAATCATTAGGAGTTATTACGGCTAGGTTTACAAAGCTTTGAGCGGACAGACTTATTTATTCAACTATCCCGGGGTCTAACAAGAGCATTCCTGTTTAATTGGAAGAGCCATCCGAGGTAACGCAAGATTTCAGACACGGGGGCTGCTGTGTGGCTTTTTAAAATTCTGCCTGATCCGCACGGTGTGTTTTCTGAAACGTTGAAATATAAGCGAAGCTTTGACTCAATAGCCACCAAGCGACACAAAGTACATTTAGATGTCTATATTTTATTAGGAGCAAATGCACTTGGCGCAGGGAGGCTTCTGAGCAAACAGGCACACAATGGCATTGTTAAGATCACTTGCCAACATTGCCTGCTCCCCTATGGCGACCAAGGATTTATTTTATTGAGGGACAAGCTTTTCACAAAAGCTGATGCTCTCAGCAGATCACTTTCATTTGCTAAATCAGGGGTCCCCAACCCCCGGTCCGTGGACCGGAACTGGGCCATAGCGTGCCAGCAACCAGTCCACACAAACAAGCAAAGGCCCATCTGTGGGATGCAGGCAGCACACACAACCACGTACTCCCTGGTCCGTGGAAAAACCTCTGTCCACGGAACCGGTCCCTGGTGCTCAAAAGGTTGGGGACCTTTGTGCTAAATGATTAGGGTAGACATCAGTAGTGTTGCTTACCTGAATTTGGAGTATAGGTAGTCATTCATTTAGTGACCGTTCTAAGTTACAGCGACACTGAAAAAAGCGACTTATGACCATTTTTCATGCTTAACTATTGCCGCATCCTTGGGGTCTCCTGATCAGAATTCATATGCTTGGCAACTGGCATGTACTTGTGACAGTTGCCGCATCCTGGGATGGTGTGATCACCAGCTGGAACCTTCCCAGCTGGCTTCCAACAAGTCAATGGGGGAGGGCCAGGTTGTTTAATGACCGCACGATTCTCTTTAACAACTGCAGTGATTCCCTTAACAACCATGGCAAAAAAAAAAAAAAGTAAAATGGGGCAGAACTTACTCAACGGCTGTGTTGCTTACGAATAGAAATTTTGGGCTCAGTTGTGGCCGTTAAGTCGAGGACTACCCTTTTAAAAATGTTTCTGAGATTCTTGCAAGGTTAATTAATTAATAATAATAATAATAATAATAACAATAACAATAATAATAATAAAGTTGGAAGGGACCTTGGAGGTCATCTAGTCCAACCCCCTGCTCAGGCAGGAAACCCTATACCATTTCGGACAAATGGCTGTCCAGTCTCTTCTTAAAAACTTCCAGTGTTGGAGCATTCACCGCTTCTGGAGGCAGGTTGTTCCACTGGTTAATTGTTCTCACTGTCAGTTGATCCAGTTGTCTAAAGTTTGGTTGAAAAGATAACTTGTATTTAATTTTATCCAAGCCATGTT